CTCTGATCTACGAGTGTTCTGATCCCCGAGTGTCAGATCCGTAAGTCTCAGAGTCTCTGATCTCTCGAGTCTCCGATCCCCGAGTCTCTGATCTACGAGTTTCTGATCCCCGAGTGTCAGATCTCCGAGTCTCAGATCCCCAAGTCTCAGATCCATGAGTCTCAGAGTCTCAGATCCCCAAGTCTCAGATCCATGAGTCTCAGAGTCTCAGATCCCCGAGTCTCTGATCTACGAGTTTCTGATCCCCGAGTCACAGATCCATGAGTCTCAGAGTCTCTGATCTCTCGAGTCTCTGATCCCCGAGTCTCCGATCCCCGAGTCACAGATCCCCGAATCTAAGATCCTGAGTCTCTTGAGTCTCAGATCCCCGAGTCTCAGATTACCGAATCCCCGAGTCTCAGATCCCCGAATCTCAGATCCCTGAGTCTCAATTAGTCTCAGATCCCCCAGTCTCAGAACCCCAAGTCTCAATCTCAAATCCCCGAGTCTCTGATCCCCGAGTCTCTGAGCATCTGATTCCCGAGTCTCTGATTCCCGAATCTCATATCGACGAGTCTCTGAGTCTCAAATCCCCAAGTGTCAGAGTCTCTGATCCCCGAGTCTCTGATTCCCTAGTCTCAGATCCCCGAGTCGCAGAGTTTCAGATCCCTGAGTCTCTGAGTCTGATATCCCCGAATCTCAGATCCCCGAATCTCAGATCCCCGAGTCTCAGAACCCCCGAGTCTCAGAACCCCGAGTCTCCGAGTCTCAGATCCCCCGAGTCTCAGATCCCCCGAGTCTCTGAGTCTCCGATCCCCCGAGTCTCTGAGTCTCTGAGTCTCCGATCCCCCGAGTCTCCGATCCCCCGAGTCTCTGAGTCTCCAAGTCTCCGAGTCTCCGAGTCTCTGAGTCTCCGAGTCTCTGAGTCTCCTTATCCCCCGAGTCTCTGAGTCTCCGATCCCCCGAGTCTCTGAGTCTCCGAGTCTCTGAGTCTCCGAGTCTCAGATCCCCCGAGTCTCTGAGTCTAAGATCCCCCGAGTCTCAATCTCAGATCCCCCGAGTCCCAGATCCCCCGAGTCTCTGAGTCTCCGAGTCTCTGAGTCCCAGATTCCCCGAGTCTCCGAGTCTCAGATCCCCCGAGTCCCAGATCCCGCGAGTCTCTGAATCTCTGAGTCTCAGATCCCCGAGTCTCTGAGTCTCAGATCCCCCGAGTCTCCGAGTCTCTGAGTCTCAGATCCCCCGAGTCTCTGAGTCTCTGATTCCCCGAGTCTCAGATCCCCCGAGTCTCTGATCCCCCGAGTCTCTGAGTCTCCGATCCCCCGAGTCTCTGAGTCTCCGAGTCTCAGATCCCCCGAGTTTCAGAGTCTCCGATCCCCCGAGTCCTCCGAGTCTCCGAGTCTCTGAGTCTCTGATCCCCCGAGTCTCCGAGTCTCCGATCCCCCGAGTCTCCGAGTCTCCGAGTCTCTGATCTCCCGAGTCTCTGATCCCCCGAGTCTCCGAGTCTCTGCATCTCTGATCCCCCGAGTCTCTGAGTCTCTGATACCCCGAGTCTCTGATCCCCCGAGTCTCTGATCCCCCGAGTCTCTGAGTCTCTGAGTCCCAGATCCCAGATCCCCCGAGTCTCTGAGTCTCTGATCCCCCCGAGTCTCTGATCCCCCGAGTCTCCGAGTCTCTGATCCCCCGAGTCTCTGAGTCTCTGATCCCCCGAGTCTCCGAGTCTCTGAGTCTCTGATCCCCCGAGTCTCTGAGTCTCTGATCCCCCGATTCTCCGAGTCTCTGAGTCTCTGATCCCCCGAGTCTCTGAGTCTCAGATCCCCCGAGTCTCTGAGTCTCTGATCCCCCGAGTCTCTGAGTCTCTGATCCCCCGAGTCTCTGAGTCTCTGATCTCCCGAGTCTCTGAGTGTCTGAGTCCCAGATCCCCCGAGTCTCTGAGTGTCTGAGTCTCTGATCCCCCGAGTCTCTGAGTCCCCGAGTCTCTGATCCCCCGAGTCTCTGAGTCTCTGAGTCCCAGATCCCAGATCCCCCGAGTCTCTGAGTCTCTGATCCCCCCGAGTCTCTGATCCCCCGAGTCTCCGAGTCTCTGATCCCCCGAGTCTCTGAGTCTCTGATCCCCCGAGTCTCCGAGTCTCTGAGTCTCTGATCCCCCGAGTCTCTGAGTCTCTGATCCCCCGATTCTCCGAGTCTCTGAGTCTCTGATCCCCCGAGTCTCTGAGTCTCAGATCCCCCGAGTCTCTGAGTCTCTGATCCCCCGAGTCTCTGAGTCTCTGATCCCCCGAGTCTCTGAGTCTCTGATCTCCCGAGTCTCTGAGTCTCTGAGTCTCAGATCCCCCGAGTCTCTGAGTCTCTGATCCCCCGAGTCTCTGAGTCTCTGATCCCCCGAGTCTCTGAGTCTCTGATCTCCCGAGTCTCTGAGTGTCTGAGTCTCTGATCCCCCGAGTCTCCGAGTCTCTGAGTCCCCGATCCCCCGAGTCCCCGATCCCCCGAGTCCCCGATCCCCCGAGTCCCAGATCCCCCGAGTCTCTGAGTGTCTGAGTCTCTGATCCCCCGAGTCTCTGAGTGTCTGAGTCCCAGATCCCCAGAGTCCCCGAGTCTCTGATCCCCCGAGTCTCTGATCCCCCGAGTCTCTGAGCCCCCGAGTCTCTGATCCCCCGAGTCTCTGATCCCCCGAGTCTCTGATCCCCCGAGTCTCTGAGTCTCTGATCCCCCGAGTCTCTGATCCCCCGAGTCCCCGAGTCTCTGATCCCCCGAGTCTCTGAGTCTCTGATCCCCCGAGTCTCTGAGTCTCTGATCCCCCGAGTCTCTGAGTCTCTGATCCCCCGAGTCTCTGATCCCCCGAGTCCCCGAGTCTCTGATCCCCCGAGTCCCCGAGTCTCTGATCCCCCGAGTCCCCGAGTCTGTCCCCACACTCCACCCTCACCCCCCTCTCCGACTCCGCGCGCTCGCTCCGCCTCTCCCAGAGCCCGCAGCCAATCACGCGTGAGCTCCGCTGGTCACATGCTCCGCGCGGACCAATACAAAGCGACTCCGGGACGGGAGGGGGGGGAGCGCGGGACCCGTTACTCCGCGGGTCCCCCCCCCCGCGTCTCCCTCCCTCCCCTCAACCTCAGCCCCCCCCCCCGTCTCAGTCGCTCTCCGTCGCTCTCACCGAGCGGATGATGAAGAAGCAGCCGAGGCCCCGGCTCGGGTCTCCGCCTCGTCGTCGTCGCTGCCGCCGCCGCCACCGCCGCCGCCGTCGCGATCACGAAGCGCGGAGAAGTCCCCCCGCTCCGCCTCCACCTCCCTCAGCCCACGGAACCCCCCTTACCCTGCCCCCCTCATATGACGCACTTCCCGTCGGGCGCGCGACGTCACTTCTGTCGATGCCGCGAAGCCGTCCGGCGCGCGGGTGTGACGTCGCTCGGCGCGCGTGACGTCGCTTCGGCGAACGCAGCCAAAATTTAGTTTCAAGTTTCATTTATTAGGTATAGCCCTGTGAACCATGCGGCTCTCAAGTCGGGTGCAACCGCAACAAACAAAATAATCGCCGTCCGTGACGCCATAAAACTCCCTCCCCCCCCCCGACCGCAGGGAGTTTTTTGCGATGCGACGTCATGTCGCCGCCGCTCTGGTGACGTCACGTCCGCCGCGATCGAAATACGTCACGTCTCGATTCAAATGCAACTACAAAAACCGTGACGTCACGATCACCCGGCGATGAAACGGTGACGTCATGTAATTATTACAATTACATTTATGTAGCGGCTTTTCATGAAGCATCTCAAAGCGCTGTACAGGACACAGCATTAAACGAATTATGTTATTAATACATTAAAAAAAACACATTTACTTCAGTGTCCTTCGCCTATAAACATCTCATTTACGTGCTGTGAAGGACCATTGCACGAAACGTCGACTGATGTTACACATGTTACAACTTGTAAGGCCACGCACGCACGTTGTTGCTGTTGTTGTTGACACGGAACGCGTTGACTTTTATTTGTGCGAGTGAACGACTGCGGTCGCGATTCCCTTGGTGAAAACAAAATAAAAACCAGGGCGGAATTACCAACGCAACATTTCATGGTAAGCTGGGGGCTGGGGATGACCAAACACTAAGGAAACTATAAACTAATTTGTCTTTTACCAGGTAAGGCCCCCACTGAGCTATGTAGTTATTTTTTGGAAGCGACCTGGCAATCACGAAATGACAGCTCAACGAAGGGGGCTCTCATCATCATCACCACGTGGACATGGACAGCCTCACACTCGAAACGCGTGATGTTGACTAAATGTGGAGAGGGGAAAAACCGAAGGACCTGGAGAAAAATCCACGCGACCACGGAGAGAGAGACAACGCAAATTCAAATACACAGCAGCAGGGCGTCGGGATCGAACGCCACGAACTCCTGTATGTCAGGCGAGGTAGTCAACATCTCCTAGCCACCGTGATGATGATGGCGTCACAGGGTCGGGATCGAATCGACGACCACGTGTATACCAGGCGAGGTGGCCACTGCGGTGCCCCGATAATGAATGAGGCACGTGACGAGGCGTCACAGCCGTGCAGCTATCCTGGATGTGGGGTGCCGAGAGGCTTTGCTACCCTCGCTGAAAACGAGCCCGAGAAAGTTACGTAAAGGACGGACACGGCGGTAATTGTCCGTCCGTGTGGCCATTGTGGCTGCGTCTTGCTGTTTCCCGTACAACCTCGACTCTCGCACGAGCAAGCAGTGTCACCACAAAGACCCGCTCCGTACAGCCTTGACAGATTGTGGGAAGCAAGTGTGGTTAGCGAGCACCTTATGAAGGCCGGCACGGCACACGAGTGGGTGGGTGGCCGTCCAGTGGCGATGTTTACACACCGCACCGGGCACTGATTTGAGGCCGAGTGGACCTAGGGGAGGCCCAAGACCGGTTGAAATAATCGTCACCGGTGCCGTGAACGGGAATCTAATTCGGCTGGCCAGCTTCGTGGTGCAGCGTAGCACTAACCCCGACACTACCACTCCCCGACTCTCTCACACACACACACACACGAGACGTTTTGGAGAATCGGGTTTAATGGAGCAAACGCGGGTCGGGGCGGACAACAGCAACACGAACACGAGTCGTCGCGAACGGCGCGGCCCGGGGGGGTGGGGGGGGGGCAGGAGGCGGGAGCCCAGGGCCTTGGGGGAACGGGGCACTGAGGCCCAAGGGGAGGAGGTGAGGAAGAGGGGGGGGGGGGTCACGGTGGGATCCCCATGTCCACGTTACATCAAAGTGTGCGGTGAGCGCGGTGGAGAAAGCGGGGGTCGGGGAGGTGGTGGTGGGTGGCGGGCCTGCGGGGGGGGGGGCGGGGTATCTTCAGATGGGCGTTGCATCCAGGCGGGAAGATCCCTGCGGGCGAGCGGACCCCCCCTGCAAGGACGGTAAGTGGGGGGGGGGCCCGGAGGGCCAGGGCTCCAGCGGCGCGGCTCTCGAGGAGGGTGGCGGTCCCGTGGGGCCGAGGTCACGTGGCGACAACGGCGGCGGTAGTGCAGGTGGTGGCGGTAGTGCAGGTGGTGGCGGTAGTGCAGGTGGTGGCGGCGGTAGTGGAGGTAGTGGTAGTGCATGTGTTGCTGACGGTAGTGCGTGTGGTGACGGCCGTAGTGCATGTGGCGATGGCGGTAGTGCAGGTGGCGGTGGGGGTAGTGCAGGTGGTGGCACCGACGATGACTGCGGTGGAGGTGGTGACAGCGGTGCGCTGGTGGTTGTTGTTGGTGGCGGTCGTGGTAGTTGCAGTGGCGATAGTGGCGGTGGTCATTGATGGTCAGTGATTGACGGTTGTGGAACTGGTGGTGGTTGTTGCAGTGGTGATTGCTGGTTGCTGGCTGTGGTAGTTCTCGTGGTTGTGATGGGTGGGGGAGGGGGGGTGGCGTCTCCCCGGATTTGGCAGCGCCCCTGCCGGACGGCGGCGGTGGCTGCAGCGGAGGGCCGCCTCCCGGTTCCCGTCTCTACATCAAATTTTTGTTCAACAGAAACGGGGACTGGAGCTGGGGATGCGCGGGGGAAGGAGAGGGTGGGGGGGGGGGCGAGGGCGGGCGCCACCGCACGCGTCTGGCCGGCGCTCACGCAGGGTTTTGCATAGAAGGCGCACGCAGACGCGGGGGGGGAGGGGGGCGCCGGCCCCCCCCCCCCGCGCCCTCTCCCGCAATAAATATCTCAACACCTTCACGTAGCCACAATTCCCATGCATATGGTTATTTACAATCCAAAAATATCACTTTTAGGCATTATCTTACAAAGTGTTGTTGACTACGGCGAGCGGCATCCCCCCCCACCCCCCCCCCCCCACACACCCTGCTGCGGCGAGGGGCGCCGGCTCCCGGGTTGCCGGCGCGGATTTCGGACGTCGCCGCGGTGCTCGGCGGAGAGCGAGGGGGGGGGGGGGGGGTCGGGGTCGGGTGGATTTTATTATTATTAAAGAAAAAAAAACAGAACAAACGGCGGAGGGAATAAAAACGCTCGCGCCACTGGGACGGGAGCGGGGGGTGCGCGGTGGCGAGAGCGGGAGGGCCCCCCGCCCCCCAACCACCCGGCACCCCCCCCCCCGTCCCAGGCCGCCGGCTGGCGGGAGCGCCTCGTGGCGGCGCCCGTTACCTCCCGGCGTGCGCCGGCGGCGCTGTGGCGGCGCGGGCGGTGGGCGGTGGCGAGGACGCGGCGGCGGCGGCGTCGGCGGCGTCACTGCTCCGTGTACTCCCACAGGTCCTTCTCGTAGCCCTCGTGCACGTGCTTCAGCAGCACCTTGCGCCGGCTCTCGCAGTACCTGCGACGTCGCGGCACAAGCGCCGTCACGCGGCGCCGGAACAACACCGGAACCACCACGCAACCTCGTCACCGGCGTGCCACGTCAACGGCTCAAGTGTCTTCAATGGCCTACGGCAATGCCGCAACCACCACCACCGCCATTAGTTCACCGCCTTATCGCCACCATCAGCATGCCGCCGCACCATAAACAATAGCACCACCACCGCAGCGGTACCGACCGGCAACCACCGAGGAGGAGGTGGGGGTTGTTTTTTTGGGCAGACACCACCACCATTTTACCACAAAACTCATTCACCAACAAATCACTTTCACCACTCGCCGCCAAAACACAATCATTACCGCCACAACCCACCGCAGCACCACTATAGCCCACCATCTCAATATCCCATCACCACACCAACCAACATCTCACCACCACATCACCTCCCCCCACCCCAGCGGGGGTTAGGAGACCTCACCTGTACTTGTCTTGCACCTTCTGCTTGATGTCTTGCAGGGCCTCCTGAGAGATGTCGCGCTCCAGGTACCCGGACAGAACCTCCGTGGCGTTCTCCAGGTCCGCCTGGTTGTTCTGCGTTCACCACACGGGGAGCGAGACAAGCGTCGGCCTCGTCACAACCTCCTCACAACCGCATTCACTGTGGCACCCGTAACCATGGGACCCCAATAACTACATCGGTCACCATGGCACCTGTCACCATGGGACTCTAATAACCACATCGGTCAACATGGCACCCGTCACCATGGGACTCTCATAACCACATCGGTCACCATGGCACCCGTAACCATGGGACCCTAATAACCACATCGGTCACCATGGCACCCGTAACCATGGGACCCTAATAACCACATCGGTCACCATGGCACCCGTCACCATGGGACTCTAATAACCACATCGGTCAGCATGGCAACCGAAACTATGGGACCCAAATAACTACATCAGTCACCACGGCACCCGCCACCCTGACATGCGTGACCTCATGTAAGCGTGTGCCTGTGTTGTTGCGTCACAACGCGTGTGCCGCTTCTGCGTCACAACTGACGTGGTGGTGGCGGGAACCCCCCCCCCTCCCCTGCAGACGCCACATTCCCCCGTCTCTAGGGGTCACCCGCGTAGGTGGTGGCGGGGGCGGTGGCAGCGTCGCAACTCAATTCAGTCGCCCCCGCAAGACATACACAACGATCTCCGTAAACGCGCCCCCCCCCCCCCCCCGCCAGCTCCCTACCCCCCACCCTGCGTGCTCACCTCGAAGATGATGGACTGGTTGTTCTTCTTGAGGTAGTAGGCGAACACGTAGGTGTACATGAGCATGGTGCGGCACTGGCACAGCACGTCCACCGCCTTCTTGAGGAACTGCACCTCGATCCACGACATGTTGTGCTGCTGCATCTCCTCCATCTTGAGCTTGATCTGCGCGTACAGCTTGTGCTCGAAGCGCAGGCTCTGCATGTGGTTCATGTAGCGGTTGCAGTAGAAGAGGTAGCGCTGCAGGGCGGCTCGCGATCGCTGCGCACGCAGACGCACGCACGCACGCACGCCCGGCGGATTGCCAACGCATCGCCTCCACGTTCCGCGTGACCCGGGCCTCTTTTGCCGTCGGGCTAACTCCCATCGGCACCGTTTCTCTGTCCGTGTCTGCTGGGGCCCAATCGCCCTGACCTCAATTAGGGATAAAAACATTGCCGTGGTCCCTCCGTGCTGGGGCCCAATCGCCCTGAACACCCACCCCCCCACTCTGGGGCCCAATCGCCCAGGTGCCCGTGGCGAGACCCACGTGAGGGCTCACCTCCTGTGCGTCCCTCGCGGCCTTGGCGTCATCCTCGTTGTAGCGGTTGCAGTTGTACCTGGGAGGTTGGGGCGGAGGGTGGGGAGGGGTTGGTGGGACAGGGGGCGGGGGGGGTACAGAGGTGCGTTAACGTCAGCACCGGGTAGGCAAAGGCGGCCGAAGCGTGGTGCCACACCACCCCCCCCTTTTGGCGAAGCGTCGAACAAAGACGGTCACTGCATCTTCGGATATTAGGAAACCACTGTGGAGCTATGCACTTTAAAATCATGCAGATTGAAAACCAATTTATTTAGAACTGCTTTTAGTGTTTAGTTTGTTGTTCTTCCCTTAGCACGGTTGGCTACGTACGGTGTGAAAGAAGTTCAACATGCATACACTTAAGTGCTGTCACGGCCTGCATAGGTGCTCAAGAACAGCCCTTGCCCCAACAGCCTGTTAAAGGCTACACGGGGCACCTTTGTCCATGTCTTGTGCATGTGCACATGTGCATACACCAGTGTGCGCATGTCCATATACGTGTGTATGCTAGTGTACGTGTGAGTGTGTGCGTGAGTGTGCATGTGTGTACGTTTGCGAGCATGGCGAGCGGGACTGTAGCGGTTAGCACACTGCGCTCCGGATCCATTGACACAAGATTCCCGCTCACGGCCAACATCAGTGACGATTATCTGAACTAGTCCTGGGCCTCCCCTAGGTCGACTCAACCTCAAATGAGTACCTGGTGTGATGTGTACACATCGCCACTGGGGAAACAAAGGCAGTCAGGCGTGGTACTGGCCACCCACCCCCTCATCATGTACCGTTCCAGCCTTCATAAGTGTTCGCAAACAGCACTTGCCTCAACAGTCTGTGAAGGCTACACGGGGGATCTTTTTCTTTGTTTGAACATGGGTAAACGTGTGTGTGTGCGTGAGCGAGTGCGAGCGAGCTAGCGAGCAGTACCAGGAGGAGCCATGTGGCTCCCAGGGCCCCAGGCAAACCCAGCAGAACTCGGCCTTGCAGCTCTGGTTACGGCAAACCATGTGGTTACATCCGCCATCCTTCTCAATCGTCACGTTGCACTTGGGGCACTCCTGCACACAGAGCCACGCGCAGCCACACCGTCAGGCACCGTCACAGAGCCACGCACAGCCGCACCGTCGCGCAGCCAGGCAGACAAGACACAGCCACACGCAGTAACGGCCTTTGCACGCGAGTTCGCGTGTGTTTAGTATTCGTTTGTGTGTGCCGTGCATGTACCATGTGCGTGTGTATCGCGTGTAGTGTGCGTGTCGAGTGTGTGTGGTGTGTGTACCGTGTGTGTGTGGTGTGTGTACCGTGTGTGTGTGGTGTGTGTACCGTGTGTGTGTGGTGTGTGTACCGTGTGTGTGTGGTGTGTACTGTGTGTGTGGTGTGTGTACCGTGTGTGTGTGGTGTGTGTACCGTGTGTGTGTGGTGTGTGTACCGTGTGTGTGTGGTGTGTGTACCGTGTGTGTGTGGTGTGTGTACCGTGTGTGTGTGTGGTGTGTGTACCGTGTGTGTGTGTGGTGTGGGTACCGTGTGTGTGTGGTGTGTGTGGTGTGTGTAGTGTGTGTGGTGTGTGTAGTGTGTGTGTGTGGTGTGTACACCGTGTGTGTGTGTGGTGTGTGTACCGTGTGTGTGGTGTGTGTACCGTGTGTGTGTGTGTACCGTGTGTGTGTGTGTGGTGTGTGTACCATGTGTGTGTGTGTGGTGTGTGTACCGTGTGTGTGTGTGGTGTGTGTACCGTGTGTGTGGTGTGTGTAGTGTGTGGGTAGTGTGTGTGTGTGTGTGGACCGTGTGTGTGTGTGGACCGTGTGTGTGTGGTGTGTGCACCGTGTGTGTGTGTGGTGTGTGTACCGTGTGTGTGTAGTGTGTGTGTAGTGTGTGGACCGTGTGTGTGTGGTGTGTGGACCGTGTGTGTGTGGTGTGTACACCGTGTGTGTGTGGTGTGTGTACCGTGTGTGTTTCATGCATGCACCTTTGTGTTGGCTGCAATCCAGTTGGACGTTTCGCTGTCGTCATCACATTTCTTGATCCACTTCCTCAGCCACTGCACTCGGAGATTCCACGCGGAGGCGACACACATTCGCTCACACTCGCTCACTCTCACCATACTCGCTCACTCTTACGTAACCGCACTTGCACTCGCTCACACTCTCAACCGTTCACTCTCACCCTTGCCCACCCTCGCTCACTCTCAATGCACTCACTCACACTCTCAATGCACTCACTCACACTCGCACATATTCACCCACCCACACTCTCAAACACAACAGCTGCCATTCGTCACCAATGGTTGGTGACGTCACCGCAAGCGCCACACCATCACCACAACCAGAGTCACCAACACCACCACCACTCACCTTGCACTTGACCGGGTCATGCCAGTTCTCTGCACACGTGAAGCTGTGGGCACAGACAGAGGTGGGCACGGAGGGGGGCAAGGTGGGGAGCATGGTCAGAGGGAAAATAAGGCACGGGGCGTTAGCACTGCCGCCCCCCCATTGCCGGCGGTCATCACTGGAGGCTTGGTGGAGTCGGGGGGGCGGGGGGAACGGGTGGGGGTGGGAGTGGGGGGAGGGTGTGGTCGAGAAGCTGGGGGGGTGGGAGTGAGGGGTGGGTGGGGGGTGGGGTGGGAGTGAGGGGTGGGTGGGGGGTGGGAGTGAGGGGTGGGTAGGGGGGAGTGAGGGGTGGGTGGGGGGTGGTGTGGGAGTGAGGGGTGGGTGGGGGGTGGGGTGGGAGTGAGGGGTGGGTGGGGTGGGAGTGAGGGGTGGGTGGGGTGGGAGTGAGGGGTGGGTGGGGTGGGAGTGAGGGGTGGGTGGGGTGGGAGTGAGGGGTGGGTGGGGGTGGGAGTGAGGGGTGGGTGGGTGGGGGGTGGGAGTGAGGGGTGGGGGGTGGGAGTGAGGGGTGGGTGGGTGGGGGGTGGGAGTGAGGGGTGGGTGGGTGGGGGGTGGGAGTGAGGGGTGGGTGGGTGGGGGGTGGGAGTGAGGGGTGGGTGGGGGGTGGGAGTGAGGGGTGGGTGGGAGTGAGGGGTGGGTGGGTGGAGGGAGTGAGACGAAGGTGGGGGGGGGGGTGACGCACCAGAACTGGCGTCCGCAGGTGCAGCGCACTGGCTTCTCGTCGGGGTAGGGCACCTTGATGACGTGGTGGCAGTCGGGCGCCGGGCACCACTTGAGCAGCCGGTTACACTGCCCGCCACACCGCACGGACGCTTACACGAGCGCTTACGCGGCCGCGAACACAGCCACTTAAACAGGCGCACACACAGCCGCTTACAAAACCACACGGACGGTTAAACTAACCGCACACGCAGCCGCACAACGACTTGTGCAACAGCACGGCCGCTTACACGACGGCAAAGCCGATAAATAGCGTGGCACAATCGCAGAGCCGGTCATACGAATGTGACAACCAAAACAGCCGTTTAACATCACACAACCGTTACACAAGCACACCCAACACAAGACAACCACAGAGCCGGAGTTTGCCTTGCTGGCGAGTGCCGCTGGGTGCTCACCTCGACGAAGCTGTTGGTGATCAGGTGCTGATACTTGAGCTTCACTTTGGGATCCGCGATCAGCCGCCTGTGATACGGGCGGTGAGGAGACACAGGGTGAGGGGGCGGGCGTGGCGAGGGGGCGCGAGGGGTGAATGGACCCGTGAGGGAGCGCGCGTGGTGAGGAGGCATGCGGGGTGAGGGGACCTCGGGGGTGAGGGGACCTCGGGGGTGAGGGGACCTCGGGGGTGAGGGGACCTCGGGGGTGAGGGGACCTCGGGGGTGAGGGGACCTCGGGGGTGAGGGGACCTCGGGGGTGAGGGGACCTCGGGGGTGAGGGCACCTCGGGGGTGAGGGGACCTCGGAGGCCATGCTCTCGCCTCATCCCTTCCACAACTCAAACTCTGCTTCAACAATGCAGCACAACCCTGGGCAATCTCCATACGGAGGGAGTGAAGGAGCGAGGTGGAGGAGGCTTAGGTGCTTGGGGAACCCAGGAATGGCAGGGGATGGATACACAGGGTGGGGTGAGCACCAGGTGTGTGGGTGCAGGGGGGGGGGGGGGGTTCAAGGCAGGTGTGGGGTGGATGGGACGGGGGGGGGGGGCACTACGGGCATGGGCGCGGTGGGTGCCTCACATGACCGTGCTGTCGTCGACCAGGATGTCGCAGCCATGCGCGGGGCAGGAGATGGTCTGACCCATGCCCTCGTCCATGATCTTGGTCTTGAGGTATTCGTTCCAGCACTGCACGCAGAAGCGGTGGCCGCACTCCAGGCCCGTCATGAACTGCGGCGGAGAGAGAGGAGGGGCGGGGGAGGGAGAGGCCACGCTGACCTCACGCTGACCCCACCATCAGCGCAATCACAACTCATTCTGCGTGAAACTACCAATTTACACACATCTCTTATCGTCACTATAGCCGCGCGTGCCACACGCAGCGATGCTCTTTATAACCCAAGTGGTGGGAGAGGGGGGTGGCATTTGCGGCACTTCATAGCATCGAGGGGAAAATCCGAATCTCGGTGACATTTTGGCAGCGGTGTTTTTTGCCGCCGCCACCGGCGACATCAAATGACGACGACGCCGGTTGAAAATCGCGACGTGCCGTTTGCGGACGTCCAGCGGTAGAAAACCACGAGGAAGTTCTCACTGACAAGAGACTTCAAAGGAGAAAACCTCCCTCGCTGAGAAGTTCATGAGTTCTACCGCTTTCTACACGTCCTTTTACTTTTAGGGACGCATGCGTTGCATTTATTTACCGAGCGTCTAACTCGTCGAGCGAGTGCGATCGTGCGACTGCATTGGCATAGCAACGGCGCACCCACTCTGATATCGCTGGGCCATGTACATTTAAGACGCTCGCACGAGTGTCATGTGACAAAGAATACATTTTTTTGTTAATGGGGAGTAGTTTTAAAATGGGATACACTTTTCACGTGGATACATTTTTTACATGGATACAGTTTTAACATGATACAGTTTTAAGATGGATTCAGTTTTAATATGGATACAGTTTTAATATGGATACAGTTTTAATATGGATACAGTTTTAATATGGACACGGTGGAAGCTACGTTTTGGAAGTAGCTTTTAGAATAGCAGCCACTTGCGTCAAAGCAGCTCATGCGTATAGCTCGCTACTTTATTACCAGGAGCTTGTAGCTTTAGCTCGCTACTTATTCACGTTAGCTTCCCCCAACACTGCGTGTGGCGACGGGTTTATGAGGAGCGGTGGCGCAGTGGTTAGCGCTTGAAGAAACCCGGTGACCCGAGGTTTGATTCCCGCTCACGATCAATAACAGTAGCGATTATCTGAATCGGTCCTGGTGCCTCCCCGAGGTTAACTCGGCCTTAAATGAACGCCTGGTACGGTGTGTAAACATCGCCACTGGGGAAACAAACGTGGCCCGTCATGGTGCTGGCCACCCACCCCCTCGTGTGCTGTGCCGGCCTTCACAGGTGCTCCCTAACGGCACTCGCCCCAACAGTCTGTTCGAGGCTATACGGGAGATCTTTGTCTCTATAAGGCCAGTCAGTAAAAACGTCTCGGCGACACACAGACGGATCTCTACCCAGAGTAACTGGAAGTGCACACGAGTTGAATAGATGTATATTGAACTTCTTTCGCACTGTACGTGTACCCAGGTTACACGCCACACACCCTGTATTTACATTAGCACGAAGGCAAAAACGGAAAGGCTCGCGGGCGGGATAGATTTTTCTAAAAAAGGAAAATAAATTCCTTACAAAAACCACGCCAACGCGATGGGCCCGACGCGCAGCTTCAACAGCGTGGGAACGTTGAGGGAATATTGCGGGTCATGGCAAACGTCGCACCCCACTACTGCAAAACCTTGGCAGGACCCTCCTCCTGAAAGAGCCTTGAGACTCAGTAAGGTTTTTTCTGGGTAAGCGAGCGGAATGATAATAACAATAATAGCTGCAAGGTTCATGTTGATTTTGTATAACCAGGGCCGGGGGACGAGTCTCATTTGCAAGAGTGAGTGACCTGGGTCTCCAGAAAAAAAATAAAAAGTAACAAAAAATAGCTACAAAGCAAAATGAACTGCGTCTTCACGTGAAAAATACTGCGCAAACATAAATCAACGTGAAATTATATTAACAATAATCTCGACTGCGCCGCCACCGCAAGTGCGTTCGCTCGCTCTCGTAGGGAGAGAGAGGGTGGTGGGTGGGGGGTTAACTCAGAGGCGCCACCAGGAGGACGAACCGCAGCCGAGCGGGAAGGCAGCAGCAGCCATGCGCAGCGAGTGTGCACCAAATTCCTCCCCCAAGCTCGGAGGTCCTCGACATATGAAGGCGTTATCGGCCAATTCATGTTGAGTGTTTATAAACGCGGGAGGAAACTGGGGTGAAAACCGGAAAAAAACCCACACTCTGTTCCATTTAGACGGGACCAGTGGAGTCCACATGTTTTTTTTTTGCCGTACTGCATTCTCTGGGCGAGCCATGGTATAGCTCCTCCATGACGCCCACGGTAAAGGGAGTCTCACAACACCTCGGTGTGAGTCACCGACGGCGGCTTCGCTGTGCATGCCATGGATCACAGGCCACGGATCACAGGCCATGTGCAGCAGAGCCACCGCCCAACCACAAGTCATCGATTCCCGGCAGCGTGCGCCGACTCGGGCAGATATATTTTTAGACCGATGACAGTGCAATTACAAAATTTCATTTTGGAAAAACTTTCAGAGAATTACACTGCGTAGCAATTTTTTTTTGTTCCTGGGTAGTAAGTGTTATTTCCTAATTGCGTATGCCTCAAACGTAGAGAAAATGCCTATTATTTCCCATAAACGTTGTTTTTGTGACCAGGACAGTGATATTTTGAAATGTACCTCTTTTCCAGAACATTCCAGATAGATTCAGAGCTGAGCAAACTTGGAGTAACTTCTAGAACTTTCCAGTAATATAAATAGTAGTATAAATACAGGGGCCTTAAGCCCACCAGTTCTGTTTAGTTCCAGCTGCCTAAGTGGATACATATCTGCATTTTTCTGAGATGGCATCAAGAGGCCGCAAGCATCCGTCAGACGCATTTTGCTACGTCTGCGGCCAATTTATCAAGACAAGAGCGAAAAAGTACTCCGTGGAAGCATCTGCGAAGATGTGTGAGGTCTACAAAGGCATATTTCGGCATGCCTGTCGGGGATCAAGACAAACCCTGGGCACCTCATTTCACCTGCGAGCAATGCAAAAAAACCTCTGGAAGGTAAGATTGACAATTGTTGCTCGGAATTTTATGTTATAAAATTTGTAAAAAAAAAATTGAAAAAGTTAATTTTTCAATGTTTCACAATTTTCAATGTTATTGAAAAAATATATCATATATCAAAAATGTTTCGAGAAAATCTTACACATTAGTCATTGGTGAAATAACTATTTTTGTAGGATGGTACAAAGGTGAAAAGAGAGCCATGAAGTTCGCTATCCCAAGAATTTGGCGGGAACCCACTGACCACTCAAGCAACTGCTACTTCTGCATGGTGGACCCTTCCAAACGTCAGACTGGCAAGAATCCACCTGCTATCACGTATCCGGACCTTCCTTCATCCATCGCCCCGGTGCCACACTGCCATAAGCTCCCCGTACCCACTCCTCCGGAGAGAGAGCAGCCGTCTTTAGAAGAGAGCAGCAAGTCAGAGAGCGAGGAAGCCGTTGTAGATCCAGATGAAAATTTCAGAGGTGGAGCTGAGGAGAGAACCCATACTACCCCAACCAAACATACCTCGACGACTTGATCATAAATCTTGGTCTCACCAAGTCCAATGCCGAGCTTTTGACGTCTAGGCTCAAGCAGTGAAACTTGTTGGATGAAAGTGTGCAAGTCGCAGATCAGAGTAATCGCCACCAACTTATTTGCAGCTTCTTCACTCGTCAAAATGAGCTCTGCTTCTACCGCAATGTGACCAGTCTGTTCGAGCCAATAAGAATAGCCTGTAACCAGAATGAGTGGTGCCTCTTCATTGACAGCTCATCCAGGAGCCTCAAAGCCATGCTGCTTCATAATGGTAACAACAGCATCAAGACCTTGCTGGACGCCTTGAAGTATGATGAGTACGGCTGGGAGGTAATCGGAGACTTCAAAATGGTGGCATTCCTGATGGGTCTTCAAGGTGGATACCAAGTTTCCCTGTTATATTTGCCTTTGGGACAGCAGAGAAACCAAGGTGCACTACCACAGGCGGGACTGGCCACAGCGGACTGAGTTCTCTGTGGGGAGGAACAACGTCAAGTGGGAGCCACTGGTGGACCCCCAGAAGGTGCTGATGCCACCACTGCACATCAAATTGGGCCTTATGAAACAATGTCAGAGCTGTAGATAAGGAGTTGGCAGCCTTCAAGTACCTTCAAGACTTCTTCCCTAAGCTGTCTGAGGCAAAGGTCAAAGCCGGTGTCTTCGTCGGACCACAGATAAAGAAGATCCTGGAGTGCAATGAATTCCCCAAGAAGCTCACGGTAAGGAGAAAGCAGCTTGGGACAGCTTTGTCGCAGTGGTTCGTGGTCGAAAACGATGTGGAGCTGGTTGAGACTCTGGTGAAGAACTACGGCACAATGGGCTGTAGGATGTCCCTCAGAGTCCATATCCTTGATGCTCATCTTGATAAATTCAAGGAGAACATGGAAGTGTACTCGGAGGAGCAAGGCGAGCGCTTCCACCAGGATATACTGGACTTTGAACGCCGCTACCAAGGACAGTATAACGAGAACATGATGGGAGACAACATTTGGGGCTGATTCGTGAAAGTGATTTACAATATAATCGAAAATCTCGAAAAACTACTCACTTATAAATCTTGAGGTCATTTTTGTATTACTTTAGTATAAATACATGTAAATTTTGAGTCAAATGTGTTTTTTCTGACTTTATGTGAACGAAAAGACACAAATTTGCCCGTTTTCTCATAGAAAATAGATCAATTTCTAAATATCACTGTCCTGGTCACAAAAGCAAAGTTTGTGGGGAATAAGCCATTTTATATACTTTTTAGGCATAAGCAATTATGAAAAAAACACTTACTACCCAGGAACAACAATTGTGAATTGTGTTACATAGTGTTATTTACCAAACTCCGTGATGGGACTGACACACATGCTTGGAAACACCAAGTAACGGGTCCAAGCCTGGAGTCCGTAAATCAGCCCCCCCCCCGCCCCAATTATCTCATCACATCACAAATCACACCAGCATTGCCTTATTGTGACATCATCATGATGATGTGGGCGCCGCGGTGGCGAGATGTTAACTACCTCGCCTGGTATTCAGGAGGTCGTGGGTCCAATCCCGACTGACGCCTGTATATATGGAGTTTGCATCTTCTCCCTACGGTTGCGTGGATTTTTCTCCGGGTCCTCCGGTATTTCCCTCCACGTTTAGAAACATGCCTTTAGAGAATTTGGCTGATATAAAGTTCCAAATGATAAGCCACTTTTTGTTGGGCTATCACTTGTGGCAAAGTCGCTTCTTAAAAAGGGCTGCTATATAGCTCAGTGGGCCTTACCTGGTAAAATAAAAAGTTTTTTTTTTAAGTTTATCATCATCCTGCCCCGTTATGTGCTACTGATACTGTTACAATTCTTGAAGGCAGAGGAGATCTCCTCCATCAGGGGTACTAGAACCCTGGCCCATGCGAAGATATAACCACCGGTCAATGGTTGTCACGTGAAGATGCTGTCTGTTACGAAACTAATCTTTTTCAGAATCAGCTAACTAGAATCCAAGTGCTCTTTAGACTTAACACAAATAGTAATATTGTCGTGCCTTACTTCATTTGCTTTGCTTTTGTCGTTTTTATGCCCCATGCCACTCACTCATGCAAATGAGACTCACATCCTGGTCTCCTGACTTCTCACCTGGTTACACAAAAATTTACCTGAAACTTGTTTTATTATTATTTTATGGGTCTCTACGCGAGCCGATGGGTCTATGTGAGCCTATGGGTCTCTACGCGAGCGTATGGGTCTTCTATGCGAGTCTAAGGGTCTCTATGTGAGCCTATGGGTCTCTACGCGAGCGTATGGGTCTTCTATGCGAGTCTAAGGAGCTCTATGTGAGCCTATGGGTCTCTACGCATGCGTATGGGCTTCACGCGTGTCGCGGCACACAGACACAAGCAGGCAAACATGCAGAGACTGACCGAGGGAGGGAAGGTCAGGTAGCAGATCCAGCAGAAGACCTCCTGGGAGGAGGAGCGCGTGGACGTGGGCCGCGCCGAGCGCAGCTTGCGGTTGTTGGGGTTGATCACGTGGCACTCGGCAAACAGCTTGTCGAGGTTGCCATCGAAATACCTGCGCCGCACGGACCGGTGTCAATCTCCGTCCCGCATCGGGGTCACTCTCCCGCACGGCACGGGGTCACTCGCACGGCACCGGGTCACTCGCACGGCACGGGGTCACTCGCACGGCACGGGGTCACTCACCAATACACACACATAGCACAGCACAGGGGTTAAAGCTTGTGTACCTCCCCCCAGAGCGACTCCCACGCCTCATGAATTGATGGAGACAGCAGCCGAGCTCAACGCACACGCCGCTTCCAGGGCCCAAGTCAGCCACACCAACTCATACTCACCAATACTCACCCACACTCACCAGTACTGACCCACACTATACCACACTCACCAAACATTTCCCCATACTCAACATTATTTGGCAACACTCACCAACACGCTTACCCACTTCATCCCGCACTCGCCCACACTAATGCACACTCACCCCCACTCCGCCAGACTCGTCCATCACATACAAACACACACAGCCCGGGTTCCTCGAAGCAAACTCCCTAACCCCCTCGCCCCACCGTCCACCAGGGGCCATCCACTCCCCAGAACCTCCCAGGACCCCACAGGACCCCGCAGCAACCCCCCACCCCCGACTCGCCTCTCCATGAGCTTCTCCTTGTCCCAGTTGAAGTGGCTGAGCAGGATGCGGGTGGTAGTGGCGGGGATCTGTGGAGGCACAAGGGTACGGGGACAGGTGGGGGGGGGGGCGACGGAGGGAGCCTAGTTAATCTCAAGATTCACACTGGATTACAAATCAACACCCACAGGGGGTTGGAGGGGGGGAGATGGGGGGGGGGGGCACGGGGAAGGGGGGCTTCTGCTATGTCCTCGCTACTTAGGGGGGGGGGGGGCCTCCCCACCCCCGCCTTCGTGATCGCGCCCCCCACGGGAGTGGAGTAAACACACGCTGCTTATGTAATGATGAGTCACGTGCGTGCGGAGTGCCATGACGGCGTGGCTCACACTGACAGGTGCGGGCAGTAGCCCCCCCTCTACCCCCCCACACGAGTGCGGGGGGGGGGACCACACGGAGGTGGTGGGGGGGGGGGCAGGAAACCACACGGGGTAGGGTAACCACATTGGGTGGTGGTTAACCACACTGCAAGGGTAACCACACAGGGTAAGGTAACCGCGAGATGGTAATCACATGAGGGTAACCACATAGGGGTAGGTAACCACAGAGTAATTACAGGACGGCAACCACCAAGGGTACGGTAAGCACACGTGAGTAACCACATAAGGGTAACCACAGAGGGTAGGTTAACCACACAGGCTAAGGTAACCACACAGGCGAAGGTAACCACACAGGCTAAGGTAACCACACGGTTTAGACGTACGATGCAATATGATTGATTCATCAACATAAAATCGCGAGTGTAGGAATCGACGCTACTCGATTCCTACGTGCGGCTGCATGCACTGTGCAGTCATATCTACACCTATACCCTTTGCAGCCACTAGAGGCCGCTACGTCTAACAGCAAATGTCACAAGATTATAATAAATTCATCAACAGACAGCGTTGACAGCACGGAAGAGGGGGAACCGGACAGGCATTGGACAACGCCAACAAGGATAATCCCCTATGGAAGGGGAAAGTAAGCTGGTAAATTGTAGAGGAAATGTAGGTGTAATGGAGGGGATAATTTGGGGGGTCGTGTAAGAGCTCTGTAGGGGGTAATGTGTGGGTAATAGAGGGTAATGTAGGGAGTAGTGCAAGGTCGCTGTAGGGGGTATTGTAAAGGGTCATATATGGTAATGTAGGGGGTATTGTAAAGGGTCATATAGGGTAGTGTAGGGGATAGTGTAAGGGTAATGTAGGGGGTATTATAAAGGATCATATAGAGTAATGAAGCGGGTACTGTAAGGATCCTGTAGGGGTTAGTGTAAGGGTCCTGTAAGGGGATAGTGTAAGGGTCCTGTAGGGGTAGTGTAAGGGTCCTGTAAGGGTCATGTAGGGGGTAGTGTAAGGGTCCTGTAGGGGGTAGTGTAAGGGTCCTGTAAGGGTCATGTAGGAGGTAGTGTAAGGGTCCTGTAGGGGGTAGTGTAAGGGTCCTGTAGGGGGTAGTGTAAGGGTCCTGTAGGGGGTAGTGTAAGGGTCCTGTAGGGGGTAGTGTAAGGGTCATGTAGGGGGTAGTGTAAGGGTCTTGTAGGGGGTAGTGTAAGGGTCCTGTAGGGGGTAGTGTAAAGGTCCTGTAGGGGGTAGTGTAAGGGTGCTGTAGGGGGTAGTGTAAGGGTCATGTAGGGGGTAGTGTAAGGGTCATGTAGGGGGTAGTGTAAGGGTCCTGTAGGGGGTAGTGTAAGGGTCCTGTAGGGGGTAGTGTAAGGGTCCTGTAGGGGGTAGTGTAAGGGTGCTGTAGGGGGTAGTGTAAGGGTCATGTAGGGGGTAGTGTAAGGGTCCTGTAGGGGGTAGTGTAAGGGTCCTGTAGGGGGTAGTGTAAGGGCCCTGTAGGGGGTAGTGTAAGGGTCCTGTAGGGGGTAGTGTAAGGGTCATGTAGGGGGTAGTGTAAGGGTCCTGTAGGGGGTAGTGTAAGGGTCCTGTAGGGGGTAGTTTAAGTGTCCTGTAGGGGGTAGTGTAAGGGTCCTGTAGGGGGTAGTGTAAGGGTCATGTAGGGGGTAGTGTAAGGGTCCTGTAGGGGGTAGTGTAAGGGTCTTGTAGGGGGTAGTGTAAGGGTCCTGTAGGGGGTAGTGTAAAGGTCCTGTAGGGGGTAGTATAAGGGTGCTGTAGGGGGTAGTGTAAGGGTCCTGTAAGGGGGTAGTGTAAGGGTCATGTAGGGGGTAGTGTAAGGGTCCTGTAGGGGGTAGTGTAAGGGTCCTGTAGGGGGTAGTGTAAGGGTCATGTAGGGGGTAGTGTAAGGGTCCTGTAAGGGGTAGTGTAAGGGTCATGTAGGGGGTAGTGTAAGGGTCATGTAGGGGGTAGTGTAAGGGTCCTGTAAGGGGTAGTGTAAGGGTCATGTAGGGGGTAGTGTAAGGGTCATGTAGGGGGTAGTGTAAGGGTCATGTAGGGGGTAGTGTAAGGGTCCTGTAGGGGGTAGTGTAAGGGTCCTGTAGGGGGTAGTGTAAGGGTCATGTAGGGGGTAGTGTAAGGGTCCTGTAGGGGGTAGTGTAAGGGTGCTGTAGGGGGTAGTGTAAGGGTCATGTCGGGGTAATGTAGGGGCTCATTAATTCAGCTCAGGTGCTGGGTGGATTGTGACAGCGCATGATCGTGAGGTGGCGGCAGCTTAGGGGGGGGGAGAGGGGGGCCTAATCCACCAGTGGATTGAGCATGGCTGGTTATATTTAATGTATGGTTCATGTCGCGGTCCCAATGCTCCAACCGTCACTCAGCTACCCCACGGCGCGACCGCTCACGTCCCCTGCACCCCTCGGAAACCCCCTGTGTCCTCTCATCCTACTGCACCGCTCTCTTTCCCTCCCTCGTGCCGAGGACTGTCTTTGCTCCACTCTCTTGTTTTTCTCTCCCTTCTGTATTCTGCGTTGTCTCTCCATTTCTCGCCTTTCTCGGTTTCCCCCTTATCCCTGTCTCTCTCTTCTCTGTCTCTCCCTCTTCTCGGTCTCTCTCCGATCTGTCTTGCCCCCATCTGCCCCTTCTGTCTCTCCCCCTTCTCCTTTCTCTGTCGCTCTCTCTTCTCTGTCGCTCTCTCTTCTCTGTCTCTCTACCTTCTCTGTCTCTCTACCTTCTCTGTCTCTCTACCTTCTCTGTGTCTCTCTACCTTCTCTGTGTCTCTCTACCTTCTCTGTGTCTCTCTACCTTCTCTGTGTCTCTCTACCTTCTCTGTGTCTCTCTACCTTCTCTGTGTCTCTCTACCTTCTCCGTCTCTCTACCTTCTCCGTCTCTCTACCTTCTCCGTCTCTCTACCTTCTCTGTCTCTCTACCTTCTCTGTCTCTCTACCTTCTCCGTCTCTCTACCTTCTCTGTCTCTCTACCTTCTCTGTCTCTTTACCTTCTCTGTCTCTCTACCTTCTCCGTCTCTCTACCTTCTCCGTCGCTCTACCTTCTCTGTCTCTCTACCTTCTCTGTCTCTCTACCTTCTCTGTCTCTCTACCTTCTCTGTCTCTCTACCTTCTCTGTCTCTCTACCTTCTCTGTCTCTCTACCTTCTCTGTCTCTCTACCTTCTCTGTCTCTCTACCTTCTCTGTCTCTCTACCTTCTCTGTCTCTCTACCTTCTCTGTCTCTCTACCTTCTCTGTCTCTCTACCTTCTCTGTCTCTCTACCTTCTCTGTCTCTCTACCTTCTCTGTCTCTCTACCTTCTCTGTCTCTCTACCTTCTCTGTCTCTCTACCTTCTCTGTCTCTCTCTACCTTCTCTGTCTCTCCCCCCTCTCTGTCTCTCTACCTTCTCTGTCTCTACCCCCTCTCGGTCTCTACCCCCTCTGTCTCTACCCCCTCTCTGTCTCGACCCCCTCTCTGTCTCTACCCCCTCTCTGTCTCTACCCCCTCTCTGTCTCTACCCCCTCTCTGTCTCTACTCCCTCTCTGTCTCTACCCCCTCTCTGTCTCTACCCCCTCTCTGTCTCGATCCCCTCTCTGTCTCTACCCCCTATCTGTCTCTACCCCCTCTCTGTCTCTACCCCCTCTCTGACTCTACCCCCTCTCTGTCTCTCTCCCCTCTCTGTCTCTCCCCCCTCTCTGTCTCTCCATTCTCTGTCTCTCCCTTCCCCGTCTCTCCCCCTTTCTCCGTCTCCCTTCTGTCTCTCCCCCTTCTCTGTCTCTCCATTCCATGTCTCCCCTTCCCTGTCTCCCTTCTCTGTATATCCCCCTGCTCTGTCTCTCCCCCCTCCCTTCTCTGCCCTTCTCTGTCTCTCCCCACTATCTGTCTACCCCCCTTCTCCCTTCTATGCCCTTCTCCATTCACTGTCTATCCCCTTATCCCTTCTCTATATCTCCCCCTTCTCCGTCTCGCCCTTCTACATTATCTGCCCTTCTCTCTTTTATGTCTTTGCCCCTTCTCTGTATATCCCCCTTCTCCCCCTTCCCTGTCTCTCGTCTCCGTCTTTCCCTCTTCCTTCTCTGGCCCTTCTCCCTTCTATGTCTCTCTCCCTTCTGTCTCTCTTCTCAGTCTCTCTCCCTTCTCCTTCCCTGTCTCTCTTCTCCGTCTCTCTCCCTTCTCAGTCTCTCTCCCTTCTCAGTCTCTCTCCCTTCTCCTTCCCTGTCTCTCTTCTCCGTCTCTCTCCCTTCTCAGTCTCTCCCCCTTCTCCTCCTTCGCTGTCTCTCTCCCCGCTCTTCCCCTCCTCCTTCCCTGCCTCTCTTCTCCGTCTCTCTTCCTTCTCCTTCCCTGTCTCTCTTCTCCGTCTCTCTCCCCGCTCTTCCCCTTCTCCTCCTTCTCCGTCTCTCTCCCTTCTCCTCCTTCCCTGCCTCTCTTTTCCGTCTCTCTCCCTTCTCCTTCCCTGTCTCTCTTCTCCGTCTCTCTCCCTTCTCCTCCTTCCCTGTCTCTCTTCTCCGTCTCTCTCCCTTCTCCTCCTTCGCCGTCTCTCTTCTCCGTCTCTCTCCCTTCTCCTTCCCTGTCTCTCTTCTCCGTCTCTCTCCCTTCTCCTTCCCTGTCTCTCTTCTCCGTCTCTCTCCCTTCTCCTTCCCTGTCTCTCTTCTCCGTCTCTCTCCCTTCTCCTTCCCTGTCTCTCTTCTCCGTCTCTCTCCCTTCTTCCCTGTCTCTCTTCTCCGTCTCTCTCCCCGCTCTTCCCCCTCCTCTCTCTCTCTCTGGTTTCGCCGTTTTTTTTGCCGTTGGAAACTCGACCAGGCGAGGCCTACTCGCTGACGAGCAGCCTCGGCACTTTCCTGATTCTTCCCCACGCCCGAGGCCGGCTGCTCCCGCTAGGCCGCAAGGAGTGCACGAGGCTTCGGCCCGGCACGGGTGACTCGGCTGGATTTTGATGGCGCAGGCGGCGCGGGGCCTGGGACGGAATCCGGGGAGACGGAGCCCGCGGCCCCGCGGCTTCTCGCGAGCCGCAGCCTCGCAACTCCACACGTCGCGGCCTCCGGGGGACGCGGGGGAGACGCGGAGCCGCCATCTTACAGCCGGGGCCAGACAGACGACCGGGCCACCCCCTCCACCCCCGTGTCTCCCTATAGCTGTGTGTCCTCGTGTCTCTGTCTCTCTTCCGTCGCTGTGTCTCCCTATGCACCCGTGTCTCCCCGTGTCTCCATACAGCTGTGTCCTCGTGTATCCCCGTGTCTGTCTCGTCGTATGTCCCCGTGTCTGTCTCGTCGTATGTCCCCGTGTCTGTCTCGTCGTATGTCTCCGTGCCTGTCTCGTCGTATGTCTCCGTGCCTGTCTCGTATGTCCCAGTGTCTCCCCGTGTATGTATTCCCGTGTCACTGTGTCTCCGTTTCCGCGTTTATCTCTTTGGCTCAGCGTCCCTGTGTCCACCCCCTGTGTCATTGTCTTCCTGTGTCTGTTTATCCCCGACTCTCACCGTGTCTCCCTATGTCATTGTCACCCCTGTGTTTGTGTCTTTCTGTGCCTCGTCTCCCCGTGTTTTCCGGTCTCCCTGCGTCTTCCACCGATAAGTCTGCCAGCGTCTTCCTGGAGCCAAGCACCCCCCCCACCCTTTCTCTCGGTCCCTCATTACATGGGGAGACAGATCTCGCAGTCTCTTCTAGACAGCGAGTCTCCGTATCCCCATAGGAGAGACAACCCTCCCCGTGACAGCGTGCCCACGGGATAGTTCAAACCTCGAACCCCTGTGACAACACGACCCCATCGGCCTGTCCCCCCACTAGAGAGCCGCCCCAAGTTCCCAGGGGGGGGGGCAGACAGCGTCGCATCGCCCACCCCGACCTCTCTCCCCATGTCGTCTCCACTCACCTCGATCACCTCGTTCACCTCCTTGATGCACTCCACCATGTGCTGCACCACCTGCTCGGCCGTGAGCACTTCGTGCGGGAACTCGTCCCCGTCGCCGGCCTGGCCGGCCTCGAGCACGGGCTCCTGCATCTCCACCTCACCCATCTCGGACGTCTCGTCTTCGTCATCGTCCTCGTCGGTCTCCTCCTCGCTGTACACCTCGTCTTCATCATAGATGAAGCCCTCGTCCGAATCCATTGTCCTGGCGGCGGCCGGCGCCGGTCACTGCGCGGCGCGACGGGACGCCCCTCGCGGGAGCCCCGCGCCTGAGACCATAAACCGACGGCGGGGGGAGAGGCTCAGCGGCGGGCGGTCGAGAAGACACGGGGAGCAGCCGCGATGGGTTGTTGGGGGGAGGGGAGAGACAGAGCGGAGACAGCCGGGGACGGAAGCGGGAGCCCGTGAGCAATAAACGCCTTCTCCTCCTCGTCCTCCTCCTCGTGATGTCACCGCCGCATCAACTCGTGACGTCACTAACACGCCCCACCCCCCTTCCCGAGTGTCCCCGCCCCCTCAGTCCGCCCCCTCGTCCCAAACTCCCCGCCCACTCGGCCCACCCCCCCCCTTCGCCCCGCCCACTCGGTCCCCCGCCCCGCCCCCTCGGCCCGCCTCTCCGACCCCGGTGCAGAACGCCACAAATAACAGCAACTACAACAACCACAACAACCACCACAATAACAACCGCCAACAACAGCAACCACCACCAACCACCACAACAACGGCAACCACCAACAGCAATCACCACAGCAACCATAACCACCACCAAACCATCGCGCCGTGACGTCACCTCCACTGTGTGGCTAACGGCGGCGGCTGTTGTTGTGGTCGTGGTGGTGGTGGTCGTGGTGGTGGTGGTGGTCGTGGAGGAGGCTCGTGAAGGACGCTGCTGCTGGGCAGTTGGAGGCAGTCGCCCCCCAGAAACAGCGGAGGGCGGAGGAGCGACGCTCACAACAACGAGCGGAGCGTCGGGTGGCTAAAGCACAGCAGGTTGGCACAGTAGGGGGCACAGGTGGTGCATCGGCCAGTCATCTCAGTCAGTCGACCCGTGGCACCAGGGTCTGCCCTTTGACCTCCTGCCCGCGGGCGTTCGACACTTCACGTGGCCTCAACGTGCACCTAGCCTGGCACAGGCGCCGTGGTGACGTCACTGCCACTTAGTGGCGAATGGTGATGTGGTTTTGGTGATTTTTTTTAGTTGTTGGCATTGTGGTGATTGTGATGTTTATTGTGATTGTGGTGATTATTGTGGTGGTTGTGGTGATTGTTGGTGATTGTGATGGTGGTGATTGTTGTTGGTAGTTGTGATTGTGATGATTGTTGTAGTGATTATTGTTGTGATTGTGGTGGTGGTTGTGGTGATTGTAATGGTGGTGATTGTTGTAGTGGTTATTGTTGTGATTATTGTTGTGATTGCGGTGGTGGTTGTTATTGTTGTAGTGATTATTGTTGTGATTGTGGTGATTGTGGTGGTGGTTGTGGTGATTGTGGTGGTGGTTATTGTAGTGATTATTGTTGCGATTGTGGTGGTGGTTATTGTTGTAGTGATTATTGTTGTAGTGGTTGTGGTGATTGTGGTGGTGGTTATTGTTGTGATTGTGGTGGTGGTTGTTATTGTTGTAGTGATTATTGTTGTGATTGTAGTGGTGATTGTGGTGGTGGTTGTTGGTGGTGGTTGTGGTGATTGTGGTGGCGGTTGTTATTGTTGTGATTATTGTTGTGATTGTGATGGTGGTTATTATTGTTGTAGTGATTATTGTTGTGATTGTAGTGGTGGTTGTGGTGATTGTGGTGGTGGTTGTTATTGTTGTAGTGATTATTGTTGTGATTGTAGTGATTGTGGTGGTGGTGGTTGTTGTTGGTTGTGATTGTGATGATTGTTGTAGTGATTATTGTTGTGGTTGTGGTGATTGTGGTGGTGGTTGTTGGTGGTTGTGGTTGTTGTAGTGATTGTGGTTGTGGTGGTTGTGATTGTGGTAATTGTGGTGGTTGTTGTTGGTGGTTGTGCTTCGCGCGTGTTTTCCACTTGACGCGAGAGGGGGGCCGTGCGTTTCGTCGCTCGCGTTGGGCCCCGGGCGCTTTCCGATCGTCCCCCTGAGCGCATTGGGGAGGCGATCGCCAATCGCGTGCTCGTTTGCTGGGGGGGGGGGGGGGGGGGGGGGGGGGTGGAGGTGCAGGAACACGGGGGGGGGGGGGGGGCGTGGAGGGGGTGGTGGAGGTGCAGGAACACGTGGGGGTGGTGGAAGTGCAGGAACACGTGGTGGGGGGGGGGGGAAGCGTGGAGGGGGTGGTGGAGGTGCAGGAACACGTGGGGGGGGGGGGGGCGTGGAGGGGGTGGTGAAGGTGCAGGAACACGTGGGGCGTGGAGGGGGTGGTGGAAGTGCAGGAACACGTGGGGGGGGGGGCGTGTAGGGGGTGGTGGAGGTGCAGGAACACGTGGAGGGGGTGGTGGAGGTGCAGGAACACGTGGGGGTGTGGGGAGCCGGGAAATGCCAGGGAGAAGATGTTGACGAAGACACCCCAGGATGTTTATTTATAGTGGAGGAATACGATGAGCTACAAAGCTTCTCTCTTTTGTTTTTTTTTTGCTCGCTCTCTCTTCTCCCATAGACGTCCCGTGCGGGACAGAGAGATGGAGAAACACTCCGCCGATAGCGGACAGAATTGGCTGGGGAGGCAAGTCGGAGGGTCGTGATGGAGACGATGATGGTGGTGGAGACGGGTTGGGAGGCCACGTGTGTGTGGAGGGTGGCATGGAGACAGACGTGGGGCGGGCGGCAGGAGAGACGAGGCTGTGCGGTGGGGTCGGGGGAAGGGATAACGAGTGAAACGAGGACCGGACCAAGCAAGTGCGCGCAGGGGAGATAAACGGGGATCAGAGAAGGTTGTGAGACTGGGGGGTGGTGGGTGGCAGAATTCGAGAACCCAGGTGGTGGAACTCGGGGTAACGAAGCCCCGAGTGGTGAGGAAGCCTCGGGGCAGGAATGAGAGTCCCGAGGGAGGGGGTGAGGTTGGGGGGGGACCCGGGCGGACAAGGCCCCTGTGCCTGCGCTTCGTCCCCCGGCTGGCCACGTGAACCCGGACGCCGCAGCAGAAGCAACAGCAGCAGCAACAACAGCAGCAGCAACAAAAGCAGCAGCAACAGCTCCCGCAGAAGAGGCGCGCGGTCACCGCGAACCCCGCCCGCGTCTCCCTTCAATCGCCGCCTCCTCCTCTGCGAGGTGAGGCCACCGAGCGAATCCGGGTCGAGCGGCCTTCGCCGCTGGCCCCCTCGTAAATCAGCCGGGGCCGCGCGCGTCACGGTGGCCGCGGGGTAATTGCGTCTGGCCCCGGGTAACGCCGCCCGCGTAATTAGATTCGGAGTCGGGACCCCCCCGCGGGCCCAGAGGCCGCCACCAGGGGCCCCAGGGTCTGGTGAAGGCCGCAAAGTGGAGGCCAGAGTCCCCTTGGCCGCACGAGCACAGAGAATCGCGTGTCCCCCCTGTGCCCGACTGACCATGCATGCGCCTTTGAAAAACGACCGACCCCAATTTAGGCGTGCCCACGGTCTCTTTAACCGAACCTGTCCCTGTGTCCTCATCTCTCTCGCTCTCTGACTGACCGTGTCCCTGTTTCACTCCTCAATGCCTGAATATGTCCCGTGTCCACCGTGTGTCCCCTTCACGCGATTCACGTGCAGCAGCAGGAGTCGGACTTGGTGGGTCTCGGCACCACGGGTTTATTGTTAATGTTGATAATAATAGTGTTCACAAGCAGCTATAGCCTAAGCGAGGAGACGACTCCTCCAATACTGACGGCGACGACGAAGATCGTGGTAAGCGCCCCTACACAAAGTTTCACAAAGCACGTGGGTACTCATCATTAAATAGGAGCCTACATAGCAACACGAGCACAGATAGGCCCTGTCAACCCAGCCAGGCATCCTGGCCCCCCACCCAACAATTGAGAACCACCCAGGGCCCCCCCTCCTTATTGGGGGGGGGGGCAAAGGAACCCCCAGAGGATCGTGGAAATGGTAAAGACCGTTAAAGAAGAGGCAGCATTGACCTCCGCCTTCCCGTGGCGCAGTCACTCGCTTACCCCTCCACTCCACGGAGCAGGGCCGGAGCCAAGCAACTTCTTACCACGGGGCGGCCCCGGTGGACGTAAAAAAATTGGGGGGGGGGCACATGGGGCCCGAGGGGTTCGACCTCCGACCCTCCCTCTCGAGCAGTGTTTCTCAAACTTTAATGTGTCCATGGACCATCCAGCCATCCCCCACACCCCTGGTCACAAGATGCATTCACTTATCTCTCTAAATACAGGGACTCCTCTCCTTACGAACGTTCGACTTATGAACTTTCAATAATGCGAACAAACCTGTCCCGTATGTCCAGTTGCCTGTTCGGACCGAGAGGCGTAAGTTCAACCGCAGAACGTGAAGAACCAGTGGCATCTACATCTACAGAAGGGGAAGAACCAGGAGCATCTACATCTGCAGAACGTGAAGAACCAGTGGCATCTACATCTGCAGAACGTGAAGAACCAGTGGCATCTACATTTGCAGAACGTGAAGAACCAGTGGCATCTACATCTACAGAACGTGAAGAACCAGTGGCATCTACATCTACAGAACGTGAAGAACCAGTGGCATCTACAGAACATGAAGAACCAGTGGCGTCTACATCTGCAGAACGTGAAGAACCAGTGGCATCTACATCTGTAGAACGTGAAGAACCAGTGGCATCTACATCAGCAGAACGTGAAGAACCAGGAGCATCTACATCTGCAGAACGTGAAGAACCAGTGGCATCTACATCTACAGAACGTGAAGAACCAGTAGCATCTACATCTGTAGAACGTGAAGAACCAGTGGCATCTACATCTGCAGAACGTGAAGAACCAGGAGCATCTACATCTGCAGAACGTGAAGAACCAGTGGCATCTACATCTGCAGAACGTGAAGAACCAGTGGCATCTACATCTGCAGAACGTGAAGAACCAGTGGCATCTACATCTACAGAACATGAAGAACCAGTGGCATCTACATCTACAGAACGTGAAGAACCAGTGGCGTCTACATCTGCAGAACGTTAAGAACCAGTGGCGTCTACATCTGCAGAACGTGAAGAACCAGTGGCATCTACATCTACAGAACGTGAAGAACCAGTGGCATCTACATCTGCAGAACGTAAAGAACCAGTGGCATCTACATCTACAGAATGTGAAGAACCAGTGGCATCTACATCTGCAGTACGTGAAGAACCAGTGGCATCTACATCTGCAGAACGTGAAGAACCGGTGGCTTCTACATCTACAGAACGTGAAGAACCAGTGGCATCTACATCTACAGAACGTGAAGAACCAGTAGCATCTACATCTGCAGAACGTGAAGAACCAGTGGCATCTACAGGACGTGAAGAACCAGTGGCATCTACATCTACAGAACGTGAAGAACCAGTGGAATCTACATCTGCAGTACGTGAAGAACCAGTGGCATCTACATCTGCAGAACGTGAAGAACCGGTGGCATCTACATCTACAGAACGTGAAGAACCAGTGGCATCTACATCTGCAGAACGTGACGAACCAGTGGCATCTACAGAACGTGAAGAACCAGTGGCATCTACAGAACGTGAAGAACCAGTGGCATCTACAGAACGTTAAGAACCAGTGGCATCTACAGAACGTGAAGAACCAGTGGCATCTACAGAACGTGGAGAACCAGTGGCATCTACATCTACAGAACATGAAGAACCAGTGGCATCTACATCTGCAGTACGTGAAGAACCAGTGGCATCTACATCTGCAGTACATGAAGAACCAGTGGCATCTACATCTGCATAACGTGAAGAACCAGTAGCATCTACAGAACGTGAAGAACCAGTGGCATCTACATCTACAGAACGTGAAGAACCAGTGGCATCTACATCTGCAGTACGTGAAGAACCGGTGGCATCTACATCTGCATAACGTGAAGAACCAGTGGCATCTACAGAACGTGAAGAACCAGTGGCATCTACATCTACAGAACGTGAAGAACCAGTGGCATCTACATCTGCAGTACGTGAAGAACCAGTGGCATCTACATCTGCAGTACGTGAAGAACCGGTGGCATCTACATCTGCAAAACGTGAAAAACCGGTGGCATCTACATCTACAGAACGTGAAGAACCAGTGGCATCTACAGAACGTGAAGAACCAGTGGCATCTACAGAACGTGAAGAACCAGTGGCATCTACAGAACGTGAAGAACCAGTGGCATCTACAGAACGTGAAGAACCAGTGGCATCTACAGAACGTGGAGAACCAGTGGCATCTACAGAACGTGGAGAACCAGTGGCATCTACAGAACGTGAAGAACCAGTGGCATCTACAGAACGTGAAGAGCCAGTGACATCTACACAACGTGAAGAACCAGTGGCATCTACAGAACGTGAAGAACCAGTGGCATCTAGATCGACAGGAGATTGTACAACTTTTAAAGCCATTCCCCGTGTTTAGTGTACAATGCCGTACGTGTTTGTAATCGACAGGCGTAAAGTTGGACTCACGAACAAATCGACTTACGAACAGACATCTGGAACCTAACTCGTTCGTAAGTAGAGGAGTGTCTGTACCAGTCCTACAAAATGATTCATATTACTGGAACATTGGGGTTTTTTACGCAGATATAAGGTTTTTTTTGGGGGGTGGCATTTAGATGTTAGGGTTAGGGTAGGGTAGTCAGGGTAGTTTACTTAACCTCAATTTTAAATTAAATATAAGTAAAATATTAACGAATGTCATTTCCGCATCAACCTGCATTTGCATCACAGCCCCGCGGCCCACCTGGAGGACCGTCACATTGTTGCGGACCTCTGATGGTCCAGGAGCCACACATTGAGAACCACTGCTCCAGTAGGTGGGTGACACCGGGCGCCAGCACGGGGCTGGGAGGACGAGCAAAAGATCCTAAACAAGGAACGCGACTGAAAGCCATGCAGAATACACACGCACAATCACACACTAACACATTAACACAAAGATCCCCCGTGTAGTCTTTAAGACTGTGGGGGCAAGTGCTGTTAGCGAGCACCTATGAAGGCCGGCAATGGCACATGAAGGGGGTGGGTGGCCAACACCACCCCCGGCCGCCTTTGTCTCCCCATTGCTGCTGTTTACACATCACACCAGGTACTAATTTGAGGCTGAGACGACCTTGGGGGAAGCCCAGGACCGGTTCGCATTCGCTTCCGCTGTCACCGATCATGAGCAGGAATCGAACTCGGGTTGCCGGCTTCGCAGTTCAGTGCGCTGACGGCTGCGCCACTTCTCCCCACACAAGCACACACTCTGACATCGTGCACTCACAGCGCCGGGCAAACGTAGCAGCACAGAGACTGTGATCCTCACCCTGCACACACGGGGCACCCACGTGCTGTCTACCTCCTGTGTTATATTAGACCGTGCCGTTGTGTGACGCCGTCGGCTTGTGTTATAATTTGTTATTCTAGAACTGGATGCGGTGTTTATAACTGTTCAGATTGGTCACCGTGGAAGAACGCGGTGCGTCAATGGGTGGTGCAGCGGGGCGTGCTGTAACCGTTTGGATGTTGTGGTGTCAGGGTGATGTTTATATTTAAGTGCCGGGGGTTAATTTGCCTGCACTGTGAGGGTGCCCGTTTTGTTACGATGCCGCCTGGTTGTCTTATTTAGCACTCTGCGATCTGATTTGACGCAAAACTCTCAACGCGTCCGTCAAATAACACTTTGGATAACTTCTTGCGTCAGCTGCGTACCACTGGCGACGCAGCAGTGGCAGCACCACCAAATCAAGTTCCAATTCGCGTTGGTTATCAGTTAAACCGGGTTAACAGGTTGCCAAAGTCAGCAATGTATGTCTGTCTATATGTTCAAATTATTTCGCATCGTACGCAGCCAGCCGTGCTAACCGGACGTGCAACGGGTCACCGATTCCAGTGGAATTACAGCGATCAAGGCGGATTTTACAACTGCCACGCCGAGAGATAGAATCGAACAGGCGACCTGGATTACCAGTCACTGGAGCTAATCGCTACACCGCCACGGTGTGGCAGCTGCCTCCCTCCTCAGTTGCCCGTGTTGTGTTTATTGCTACAAACATCCGTATGCGCTGGAAACCGGCTTTAAACGGTTTGTTCCATTCGGCTACCGGTTACGCAACAAAACTGATTGTAACAGCCCCGAGTTGCAATCTGTGGCACCAGAGCCCCTTTGGTGGGGGGGGGGGGCTGGTGCCACAGATTTGGGCCCCAGGTCACCCTTTGAGAGAGACGTCCACGTTCAGCAGGGGTTCGCACCTGCTCCCGAAGCAAATTGAATTGAATATTTCTGCTGCTGCTACCGACTTTCTCCCCCGTGACAAGCCCACTGCCCCCCCCCACAGCTGAACTGTGATTGGCTGCGTTGCTGTTTTTCAAGAGGGGGGCAGGGGCAGGGGGCGCCTTCGCTGCTGCGAGGGCAGCGGTGGGGCCGAGGCCGCGCCGCGCGGATCTCCCGTCGCCACCACCGCTCGCTCCGTACGATGCCCCTACACGATGCTCTCTGTACGATGCCCCTACACGATGCTCTCTGTACGATGCACTGCACAATGCTCTATGTACGATGCTCTCTGTACGATGCTCTATGTACGATGCTCTATGTACGATGCTCTCTGCACGATGCTCTGTACGATGCTCTGTACGATGCCCCTACACGATGCTCTCTGCACGATGCTCTATGCACGATGCTCTCTGTACGATGCCCCTACACGATGCTCTCTGTACGATGCTCTCTGTACGATGCTCTTCGTACGATGCACCTACACGATGCTCTCTGTACGATGCACTGCACAATGCTCTATGTACGATGCACTGCACAATGCTCTATGTACGATGCACTGCACGATGCTCTATGCACGATGCTGTCTGTACGATGCTCTCTGTACGATGCGCTCTGTAGGATGCCCCTACACGATGCTCTCTGTACGATGCTCTCTGTACGATGCACTGCAGGATGCTCTCTGTACGATGCACTGCAGGATGCTCTATGTACGATGCTATGCACGATGCTCTATGTACGATGCTATGCACGATGCTCTGCATATGAGTGAAAGTGCTTTATCTTCGTACGTCTTGGTAAAAAAAAAATGCAATAAGAAATCTTACCCCACCCCCGCCCTCCCCACCCTCCATTTGTTTCAATATTACAATTATGATTGACGCTCAGCTCCACTATATCACTAACATTTTCAATGTAAAGAGAATGGGCTCTTCCTCTGCTAATACAAGTGCAAAGACACGAACACGACACAGGCCCACAAACCCCCCCTTCCCCCCCTTGACCACCACGCAATGGTAGTGCCCGCCATGCAATAGTAGTGCCCGGCTGAACCCCCCCCCACCTCTGACAGCCGGACTTCACCATGTCACGCAGAGGGGGGGCGATGGTTAGGGGGTGCTGCAGGTGGTGGTTGCTCGAGCTCTGCCTCCTCTGCACGCCCCCGGCAGGCCGGTCCATCTCGCCTCGTGCGGTAGGAGTTTGTGCGGGGGGGGGAGCGGTGGTGGTGGTGGTGGTGGGGTTGGGGGCTGGTGTGCGGCAGCCCCCTCCCGAGCGCACGCCCCGGACCGGTCCACTCCACTGCGCTCACTTCCACGGGGTGGGCGTGCCGGGTTTGGGCAGCGTGCGGGATGGGATCATGTCGAGGAGGTATTCCCTCTGGCGGTCGGCGGGCGACGGGGAGCCCGGCGGTTTGTGAACGCCCATGCTGCCCGGACGCACGTACAGCATGTTCATGCCGGCTGGGGGGGGGGGGGGCGGGGGGGCGGTCAGCACACACACACACACAGGTATCACCGACACTCCGTTTGCTGGCGAGTGCCGCTGTTGGCGTCTCGAGGCTCCCGCGTGGGAGGCGATGCACGGAGGCGGTGCGGGTCCATTGAAGCAACCGAGAACGAGCCGTGTCCATAACAACGTCGTGCGCAAGGAAATGCAGCAAGTTGTTTTTTCTTGCTGTGGTTGTCCCACCTGATGACGATTGCTCGTGCTGCGATCGAAACGTCACGCGATCTGTTATTTGTCTGCCTACGTGACTTTACCGAAAGAACCAAGGGGTATGAAATATTGAGAATAGGTGACGTTTTGGGCAATGGGCCTTCTTCATAGCACGACTTCACATGCTAAGGAGGAGGGCAATTACCAGAAACGTCGCCTATTTGATATATTTTTTCCCTTTAAAGGCCACACACACAAACGTTGTTGCTGCTGCTGCTGTTTTTGTTGTTGCCCACGCAGCAGCAGCAACAGCGTCACAAGACGGAGCTCGTGTGAGCGACGGTTCGCGGAACTGTGGTCGATAATAAACGTGAGGGGTCGCTACTCGTCCTCGCCTTCACTTTCTGTGCCTCGTGCAGTTTTGTTCCACCGGTTTAAGTGGCGCCGCCTATCATTAGCAATGGAACTTGCATGAAATGTAATTGCATCACGAGAATGGATTGCGATCGATGAACGGATGCATCAGGGCACGTCATCTCCCCAATCAGCAGGGCAGTGTGGGCGTGGTGAGTGCACAGTGGGTGGTGAGCAGGTGGTCAGAGCACGGTGGTGAGTAAGCAGTGGGTGGTGAGTGTGCACGGTGGTGAGTGTGCACGGTGGTGAGTGTGGGTGGTGAGTGTGCAGTGGGTGGTAAGTGTGCAGTGGGTGGTGAGTGTGCAGTGGGTGGTGAGCGTGCAGTGGGTGGTGAGCGTGCAGTGGGTGGTGAGCGTGCAGTGGGTGGTGAGTGTGCAGTGGGTGGTGAGTGTGCACGGTGGTGAGTGTGCAAGGTGGTGAGTGTGCAAGGTGGTGAGTATTCAATGAGTGGTGAGTGTGCAGGGTGGTGTGGGTGGTGAGTGTGCAGTGGGTGGTGAGTGTGCAAGGTGGTGAGTATGCAGTGGGTGGTGAGTGTGCAGTGGGTGGTGAGTGTGCAAGGTGGTGAGTGTGCAGTGGGTGGTGAGTAAGCAGTGGGTGGTGAGTATGCACGGTGGTGAGTGTGCAGTGGGTGGTGAGTGTGCACGGTGGTGAGTGTGCACGGTGGTGAGTGTGCAGTGGGTGGTGAGTGTGCACGGTGGTGAGTGTGCAGTGGGTGGTGAGTGTGCACGGTGCTGAATATGCAGTGGGTGGTGAGTGTGCAGTGGGTGGTGAGTGTGTGCAGTGGTGAGTAAGCAGTGGGTGGTGAGTGTGCAGTGGGTGGTGAGTGTGCACGGTGGTGAGTGTGCAGTGGGTGGTGAGTAAGCAGTGGGTGGTGAGTATGCACGGTGGTGAGTGTGCAGCGGGTGGTGAGTGTGCAGTGGGTGGTGAGTGTGCAGTGCGTGGTGAGTGTGCACGGTAGTGAGTATACAGTAGGCGGTGAGTGTGCACGGTGGTGACAGTGCAGTGGGTGGTGAGTGTGCAGTGGGTGGTGAGTGTGCAGTGGGTGGTGAGTATGCAGTGGGTGGTGAGTGTGCAGTGGGCGGTGAGTGTGCACGGTGGTGAGTGTGCAGTGGGTGGTAAGTATGCACGGTGGTGAGTGTGCAGTGGGTGGTGAGTAAGCAGTGGGTGGTGAGTATGCACGGTGGTGAGTGTGCAGTGGGTGGTGAGTAAGCAGTGGGTGGTGAGTGTGCACGGTGGTGAGTGTGCAGTGGGTGGTAAGTGTGCAGTGGGTGGTAAGTGTACAGTGGTGAGTGTGCAGTGGTGAGTGTGCACGGTGGTGAGTATACAGTGGGTGGTGAGTGTGCACGGTGGTGAGTATGCAATGGGTGGTGAGTGTGCACAGTGGTGAGTAAACAGTGGGCGGTGAGTGTGCACGGTGGTGAGTCTTCACGGAGGTGAGTGTGTAGTGCGTGGTGAGGGTGCAGTGGGTGGTGAGTAAGCAGTGGGTGGTGAGTGTGCACGGTGGTGAGTGTGCAGTGGGTGGTGAGTGTGCAGTGGGTGGTGAGTGTGCAGTGCGTGGTGAGTGTGCAGTGGGTGGTGAGTAAGCAGTGGGCGGTGAGTGTGCACGGTGGTGAGTGTGCACGGTGGTGAGTGTGCACGGTGGTGAGTGTGCAGTGGGTGGTGAGTGTGCACGGTGAGCAGCAGTGTGACTCAGTAGATGAGCACGATGTGCTTCGACACTCGATCGACCTCGGTTCGATTCCTGGCCACAGCTCAACATCAGTGGCAGCGAGCGATCATCTGGACAAGAACCTGCGCTTGGCCGAGATGTACTCAGCCTCTGTTGATCACGTGGTGTGGCGAGTAAGTAAACATCAGCACCAGGGAGAACAGGTTCAGGTGCAGTTTCATCACACCACCCCTTAGTGCACCGCAGTGGTGAGATGTTAACTACCTCACCTGGTATACAGGAGATCGTGGGTTCGATCCCGACCCTGACACCTGTATATTTGGAGTTTGCATGTTTTCAACCTTGGTCGTGTTAATTTTTTACCGGTGTCCTCCGGATTTTTCCTCCACATTTAGATACACGCGTTTAGAGTATTTGGCTTGCGATGCATTCCCACGTGACAAGCCACTTCGTTGAGCTATCATTCGTGGCCAGGTCGCTTATGAAAAACAGCTGTATAGCTCAGTGGACCTTGCCTGGTAAAATAAAAATAGTTTAGTTTTAGATGTTCGCAAACAGCACTTTCCCCAAAAGTCTGTTTAGGCTACACGTGTGTGGACATGTGTGTGTGGACACGCGTGCACTGCACGTGTGTGCACGTGCAGTGCACGTGTGTGCACATATGTGTGCACGTATGTGTGTGTGGAGGTACCTGCTCCGCCCAGCAAGCTGCCTGCAGGAGAGTAAGGAGGCCCCATACCCCGCACCCCCACCTGGGGGCCCCTCTGCTGCAGCATGGGTGGCTGGGACTGCAGCGGAACAAATGAAAGAACGGTCAGGAACAGGGGCCACTTATGGCTGGGTGTTGTGGTGCGCGTGGTGAATGTGTACAGCATGAGTTGTAGTCACGCCCAGATGACCATCCCTCTCTCCCTCACCTGCTTGAGCGTGGGCCGGTGGTGAATCACCGACTCTCCTTTCCCCGGAGTTAGGGACGACTGCTGCTGCTTGAACTGCTGCTCAATCTCCTGCGCAGCAGCAACAGCAGCAGCGACATGAATCGCACGGCACGGTCACACACCGTTACACAACGCCACCATACACACACCGGGGCGCCCGTGGTCGCATTGCGGCTTTGTTAGTGGCTATGTTGTGGCAGCATTGTGGTGGTGGTGGTGTAGCGATTGCCCGACGAAGCCGTGGCGATGCCCGCGCCTGTACAAAGGCAGTACGCTCGTGTCTGTCACGGTGCAGCAAAGGAGCAGTTGCGAAGTGGTTAGCACACTGCGCTACCAACCCGGCGGCCCGTGGTCAGAATCAGAATCTTTATTTATCCTGAAGAAATCCGATGAGCTATGAAGCTCTTTTTCACACATGTCCAGTAGGTCGATTCCCGCTCAGGGCCAACATCGGTACTCGAATATCTGGGACCGATATGGGGACTCCCCTATGTCGACTCAGCCGTAAACGTATACCTGGCACGATGTATAATATCTGCACTGGGGAGACCAAGGCGGCCGGGCGTGGCGCTGGTCACCCATCCCCTTTTGTGCCGTTGCCGGCCCTCATAGGCGCTCGCCAACAGAACTTGCCCAGTTAGTCTGCGTAGACTACACGGAGGGCGGGGGGGCAGGATCTGTATTTTGTAGTGGTACCCGGACCCCTGCTGCTGCTGCCGCTGCCGCCGCTGCTGCGGTGTGGGGGGCACCTGCTCCTGCTGCAGCGCGCGGAGGAACGCGGCCTTGAGGCGCTCTGTGTGCTCGGCGCGCAGCGCGCGCTTGTGGCCCACAGCGAGGCAGCGCTCGCACAGCACGAGGCCGCAGCGGTCGCGCGCCCAGCGAGGCGTGAAGTCCGTACCGCAGTGGCCGCACGCAAACGGCTCCACGTGCAGCATGCGCACCTTGCCTGCCGAGCGCGGCACACACACACACACACACGGTTGTTTTAGAGTCAAATGTGAAGCGGACGGCACGTGTATATTATGCAGTTAACACAGCCGCAGTATTCACCAGGGCAGCCTGCCGCATTCGGTTGCGAGATAATAACTACCTCAGCTAGTATACAAAAGGTCGTGGGTTCAATCCCGGCCATGATGCCTGTATATTTGGAGTTTGCATTTCTCTCTCCCTGTGGTTGTGTGGATTTTTCTCCAGGTCCTCCGGTTTTTCCCTCCACAGTTAGAATCGACATCGCGCGTTTAAAGAGTCTTTGGCTGGTGTAAATTTCCACGTGATAAGCCACTTCATAGAGGGTCGTTTCTGAAAAACATAGCTCAGTGGGCCTTAACTGGTAAACAAACAAAAAAGGTTTTAGTTTTAGATGTATTTACTCGAGCTGCCAACAACCGACGCCGGCCCCTACCGGCGCCCCGTGGGCCCTCACCGTTGCCCTGCAGCAGCGTGGTGACGGCCTGCTCGAGGCCCAGCAGGTAGATGAATTCGGCGTTGACGGCGCTGGGCATGAACGCGAGCTCGGGCGCCGGCGGCTTGGGCGGCGGGATCTCCAGCAGCGTCTTCTCCAGCTGCTTGCGTAGCGCCAGCTTGGCGGCCGCCTGCCGGCTCGCCGGGGACTCGGCCAGCACGCCCCCTCCGCCGACGCCTCCCCCGCCGCCCCCACCACCCACGCCGCCCCCCATGCCCGCCGGCCCCTTGGGCTGCTGGTGCGAGGGGAGGGATCCCGCCGGTCCCTGGGGGCCCCCCATGCCACCGGCCGGGCTCACCACCAGCCCGGATTTGGAGCCGGTCGCCACGGAGACGGCGCCCCCGCGGCCCCCCATAGACATGGCCGGGTGCTGTAGGAGGGCGCGGAATGGGGGGGGAGGGGCGGGGGGGCATCGTCAGCGATGTCACCACCGCGGCACTGAAACCGCGAGCGTGGCCTGCGGCAGGGGTGGTTGGGGGTGGCAGCCAAGCGCAGTCGAGGCGCGTCCCAACCCGTAGTGCCGTCACAATCGGTCCTGGTGGGTAACCAGGAGCCGCATGAGAAAACCGGTTCAAACCGCTTGCCGCACAGACAAGGTCCTCGAGCAATAGGCACGACGGTTCAGCCGGTGTAACCTGAGAGATGAAGGCAGCTGCCACGGTTGTGGTCTCACCACGTCAGACCTCAAGCACACCGAGCCACGCTGCGTGACGTGAGAGAGTGTGTGAGCTGGGTGTCGTGGAGGAGGGCGCTGCTGCGGGAACCTGGCTGTAGGATGGCTTGTTTGCCGCGGAGACGTGCATGCCAGCGTTCTGCTGCATGGAGCGAGGGGAGGGGGCCCCGGGGCGGGGGGCCAGTAGCAGCGGAGGGGGGGCACGCACCACCGACCCCTGGGGAGGAGGGCAACAACGGTGAGATTGCCACACAACCACACACAACGATACAGGCCATGTAGAGTGTCAAAGGCTCTGACATGAGGTTACAGGACAGACCCAGGTGCCGTGGGTTGAATGACCGAAATGACAGACAGATGCACCACCTGTGCTCCTAACTGTGCCATTCACACTCTCACTCGCCCCACAGACTTACATTCACCCCCATTCATTCGGACACCCTCACACTTTTACACAACGAACCCTCATGTACTCTCTCCCACACAACAACAGCAGCACACACTCTCATTCCCTCACACTGTCACTCGCCCTCATACCCCCAAAGACAAAGATCCCCCGTATAGCCTTAACATACTGTTGGGGCAAGTGCTGTTAGCAAGCACCTATGAAGGCCGGCATGGCACACGAGGGGGTGGGTGGCCAGCACCACGCCCGGCCACCTTTGTCTCCCCTAGTGGCGATGTTTACACACCGCACCAGGTAGTCACTTGAGGCTGAGTCGACCTAGGGATGGCCCAGGACCAGTTCCGATAAGCACCACTGTTGTTGGCCATGAGCGGGAATCGAACTCGGGACGGCAGGTGCACAGCGCGATGTGCTAACCACTATACCTACCCCCACTCACCCTCTCTCACACCCCCACTCTCACCCTCACCTGGGATCCGCGCAACAGGGGGGGCATGATGCTCGTCTTCCCGGGGGGCTGGGGGAGTGGCCGGCGGGGGTGCCCTGCCCCCCCCTCATGAGTGGGGGGGGCCCTCCCCCCGGCACTCCGTGCCTCTCCAGGGGGCCCTGGCGACAACAAGCGCAGTGGGTGAGTGTCCGCGGCGAGTACGCGAGGTGAGATGGTGTTGCGTGGTGAGTGGGTGGTGAGCGTACCCGCAGCTGGCTGTTCTCCTTGTGAGACGCCGTGTGGATCTGGCTGTGTCTCAGCTTCTTCAGCAGCACAAGTTTCGTCTCCTCCAGACGCAGCTCATCAGCAAGCCGCTTGATGAGGCGAGACCGCTCCTCCGAGCAGAAGCGCTGCGGGGAGACGGGGCAGAGAACTGGCCTCAACACAGGGCGGAAAGATGGCCTCAACACAGAGGAGAGAGCTGGCCACATTACTCAGGAATGCTGATTTATCATATCACGGGAAAGGCCAAAGACTTTTATTCGGGAGCGTCCTGCTACATTGGGATGTTTAGGCAACAGCAGCAGCAGCAGCAGCACCAATGTAATCATATGCTGTGTGTGTGTGTTTGGCTTTGGGAGGAAACCGGGGAAGCCGGATCAAACTCATGTGGAACAACGGGAGAGAGAACATACAAACTCCACATGGAGCGGAATCGAACTCGGGTCCTTCTTGCTGCTGTGAGGCGGCACAAATGTCACCACAGCGCTGCCACCCCTGCCCCACAGCACTCCCGTCACTGCCCCACCCAAGGTGCCTCATGCCGCACGGTGATCCTTGGCACCGTCACAAACCTTCAGGTCCTCCGGGCCTGTGGTGCCGTTAGAGTGGCCGCCACCACCACCGCCTCCACCGCCTCCACCGCCGCCGCCGCCGCCCCCACCATGGTGGTGGTGGTTGTTGTTGTTGTTGTTGTGGGGGCTTGACGACTCGTTATCCGACAGAACGATCACTTCTGGGGTCGGGGGTCGCTTGTCCCGCTTGAGGTCCCTGGGTAACGGCACGCGGTGGAAGGGGTGGTAATGGTGACAGAATCAGAATCTTTTATTTAGACTGAAGGAATCCGATGAGCTGTAAAGCTCTTTTTCACCGATGTCCAGGAGGGGCGGAGTCAGCAAGTGACAGCGCCAGCGCCGTGGTTCCCGGAAGCCCGAGACGCAGCTCACTGACGGGAAAAGTCTCAATGTCTACAGAGGTTCACGGTTCAATCCCCAGAGGCCATCCTGGCTAATACCACAGTACGTCATGACAACATTCGGCACCGTCTCCTTCGCCGCAAGCGCTAAAGATCCCATGACGTTACTTGAGAAGGAGCAGCAGTCCGCCTGTGTGTACCCACGTCGCGGTCAGCATTTTTCCTATCACTAGTATAATCCGAGGGTTCTGTGTATGTGTGTGTATAGTGGGGAGTGGTGGCACAGTGGTTAGCGCACTGCGCTATAAACCCAGCAACCCGAATTCAATTCCTGCTCGTGGCCAACACCGCTTACAAATATATTAATCGGTCCACGCTTGTGAGATGTTAAGTCCCTCGCCTGGTATGCAGGAAGTCGTGGTTTCGATCCCGACCCTGACACATATATTGGGAATTTGCATTTCTTTTTCCGCGTGGTCGTGTGGCTTTTCCTGCGGGTTCCCCGGTTTCTCCCTCCATATTTAGAAATATGCGTTTTAGAGCATTTGGCTGCGATACATTTCAACATGATAAGACACTTCGTTGAGCTCTAATTTGTGGCCAGGTCGCTTCTGAAAAAGAGCTCTATAGCTCCTCAGTGGGCCTTACCTGGTAAAACAAGAACAGTTTATAGTAGTTAAGTCCTGGGCCTCGCCTAGTAAATATCAGTACTGGGGAGACAAAGGTGGCTCCCACACCACCTCGTGCACCGTGTCAGCCTTCATAGGTGCTCACTATCACCACTTGCCCCAGCAGTCTGTGTGCCTTTACACGGCTCACCTTCGTCTGTGTGCGAGCTGTGCGGTGCTCTCACCCGCGCGCCGTCGACATGTCCACGGGCTCCTCGCCGCCACCGCCACCCTGCACGTTCTCCTTGCCCGCCCTGGCCCTGGCGCGGGCAGCGCGGGCCGCGGCCAGCGCCGGCGAGCGCTGCTGCTGCTGCTCCTCGCTCCAGTCGGGCGGCTCTGCCTTGACCCGCACCGCGGCGGCGGCGGCGGCGGCGTCGGCGGCGTCGGGCGGCGACGGCGCAGGCGGCGGCGTGGGGCCGTCGCGGCGAGCCTCGGCCTCCGGCACGGGGCTCGGGTTCGCCGGCTCTGGCTCCGCGCTCCGCTCGGGCTCCACATCCGGCCGGGCGCTCGCGACGGCGACGGCACCGTCGGGCAGAGCGGCCGGGTCGGGCCGCCCTCCCTCCTCGTCCAAGGGCAGGCGCTCTGGGGGCTCTAGGGGCGCCGGGGGTGACGGGGGGGCCGTGGATGATGGGGGTAATGGGGGCGATGGGGGCGATGGGGGCGATGGGGGTGATGGGGGCGCCAGCTCCGTAGCTGAAAGACAGGATGCATCCGGTCCCACAGCCCCAGTCACGTGTTTGATGAGTAACGGACTCACCTAGCGGCGGTCAATTCGCCGAGCACCGTGAGGATACATTCTGGTGAACCTCACTGGGATCCTCCGTGATCCACCACCAGAAAGCTTTGACCAACAATTACCCGGATGGATTTATTCCTGGCAGTCGCAGGAATTCTTCATCTGGGATTTTTTTTTATTGTCATCAGCTACAATGAGAATTGCTGTCCGGTTATTTGAGTGTTCATTCAGATTTTTCCTGAGATCTACAACAAGTAGTTTTGCTATCCACGTATTGGCCACCACGCGACTCAACCGAAAACCTGACACAAGAACTGATGAAGCAGCAACCATTTTTTTTATTGGAAGATGCCAGGCACCGGCCGCCAAACCACGGGAAACTCACCGCAGTGCACGGTGAGTGCTGCGCTGCGAGTGGGTGAGCGGTGAGCGTGGTGATGAGTGATGAATGGCTGTGTGTGTGGTGAGTGTTGAGCAATTTGGTGGTGATCGATGAGTGGCGAGTGCCGGTGAGTGGTGGTGAGAGTGGTGGTGGTGGTGGTGTGTGTGGTGGTGAGCGTTACCGGGGGCCCCCTCTGTGCTTGGCCGTCCCCCGGGCTCCGCGTCCGCTGGGGGCTCCGTGCGAGGAACCTTCGCCGCACGCTCCTCCTCGCCCCCCTTCGTGCCTCCAGGCGTGCCCCCCCCCTGCGTGCCCCCCCCCTGCGCGCTCCCCTCCGCGTCCCCGTGGAGATCCCCACGGCCGCGCTTCACACCCCTGTCCAGCACCTCCGCCATGAGTGCAGCTGTAACCACAGCACAACCAACACCGTCACAACCTCCGTGAACACCAAAAAGCAATGCAACTACATGCACCACCGTAAACACCATCACTACCACCAAATCTGATCACACACTGATAAACACACCCACAGTAAAACCACTACCATCACTACACACGCCACCAGAAACACAACCACCACCACCAGCGGTGCCAGTGCCCTAAACTAAAACTATTTTTATTTTACCAGGTAAGGCCCATTGAGCTTGTAGCTATTTTTCAGAAGCGACCTGGCCATAAATGATAGCTCAACGAAGTGGCTTATCATGTGGACATTTATCGGAGCCAATACTCTAAATGCGTGCATCTAAATGTGGAGGGAAAAAACCGGCGGACCCGGAGGAAAATCCATGATACCACGGGGAATACATGCAAACTCCAAATATACAACAGGCATCAGGTTCGAACCCACAATCTCCTGCATAGCAGGCGAGGTAGTTAACATCTCACCACCGTAGTGAGACCCCAGGGTTGTGCGGCTCCTTTTTCAATTATACTGCAAGGGCTCCTCACCCAACCCCTGAACCAGCACCAAACTCACCATGAACACTCACCACGAAGCACAAACACCCAACCCTTCAACCCAGGCCTGGCCCTTACCATGACCCCAGCCCTGACCCTTAAACCCAACTCCAAACTCGACTGCATTCTTGACCCTAATCCTGACCCTAAACCCGGTCATGTCTCTACCCCTCCTCCATAACCCCCAACTCCATTCCCGCTGCCCCCACTCTGCCCCCTCTCATCCCCAGGCCCCACTACGGGGCCATGACTCCACCCCACGCTCACCCACAGCGCCACACTCACCCAACCCGCGCCACGCTCACCCACACCACGCTCACCCATACCACGCTCACCCACACCACGCTCACCCACCCCACGCTCACCCACACCACGCTCACTCACACAACACCGTGCTCACACGTGCCACGCTCATACCCACTTTACTAGCACTCATTCCCTTCACCCGTACACCCACCTCGCCTGCCCACACCACAATAACACCATGCTCCCACCACACACACACACCCAATACTCCCAAACACCACGCTCGCCCACAATGCACTCACCCTCAGCCTGTCCCCCGCATCCTCACACTCGCCTACACACCTCGACATGCGCACCACTCACCTACACGCACCGTGCTCACACGACGCTTTCCCACTCATCACTCGTACCACGGTCACCCACATATCACTCGCACTCCATCCACACCCGGGGCGCCACCACACTCACGAGCACTAACACAGCTCCCAGCACGTACAAGTCAACGCTCTTCCACAGGTACAATCTATAACACTGTGTGTCACAAAAAACAAAATTTGTTCCTGGGTAGTAAGTGTTATTTTCTAATTGCTTATGCCTAAAAAGTGCAGAAAATGGGTTATTATTCCCCACAAACTTTGCCTTTTGTGACCAGGACAGTGATATTTTGAAATTGACCTATTTTCAATGAGAAAACGTGGTGTGCATTTGTGTCATTCCTTCACATAAAGTCCTGGTCACAAAAGCAAAGTTTGTGGGGAAATAATAGCTATTTTATATACTTTTGAGGCATAAGCAATTAGAAAATAACACAAACCAGGAACAAAAATCGTGATACATAGTGAGCTATCTTCACCCATACAACTCAGACCTCGCTAACTCACTCAACACCTCACTCACCCTCACCTTCCTCACACACCGAACTCACCCACACCTTCCTCACACACCGAACTCACCCACACCTTCCTCACACACCGCACTCACCCACACCTCACCCCATACACCCACACCTCACCCCTCACACCTAACCCCACACACCCACACCTCACCCCACAGACCCACACCTCACCCCACACACCCACACCTCACCCCACACACCTCACCCCACAGACCCACACCTCACCCCACACCTCACCCCACACCTCACCCACACCTCACCCCAAACACCCACACCTCACCCCACACCTCACCCCACACACCTCACCCCACACACCCACACCACACACCCACACATCACCCCACACATCCACACCTCACCCCACACACCCTCACTTAACCCCACACACCCACACCTCACCCCACACCACCTCACCCCACACACCCACACCTCGCCCCACACACCTCACCCCACACACCCACCCCTCACCCTACACACCTCACCCCACACACCTCACCCCACACACCCACACCTCACCCCACACACCTCACCCCACACACCTCACCCCACACACCTCACCCCACCCCCCAACACACCTCACCCCACACACCCCTCACCTCACCCCACACACCTCACCCCACACACCTCACCCCACACACCCCATACACCCACACACCTCACCCCACACACCCCACATACCCACACACTTCACCCCACACACCTCACCCCACACACCTCACCCCACACACCCACACCTCACCCCACACACCTCACCCCACACACCTCACCCCACACACCTCACCCCACACACCCACACACCTCACCCCACACACCCCACAAACCCACACACTTCACCCCACACACCTCACCCAACTCACCCCACACACCTCACCCCACTCCCCCACACACCTCACCCCACACACCCACACACCTCACCCCACACACCTCACCCCACTCACCCACACACCTCACCCCACTCACCCACACACCTCACCCCACTCACCCCACACACCCACACTTCACCCCACACACCCACACCTCACCCCACACACCCACACACCTCACCCCACTCACCCCACACACCTCACCCACACACCTCACCCCACTCACCCCACACACCTCACCCCACACACCTCACCCCACACACCTCACCCCACACACCTCACCCCACACACCTCACCCCACACACCTCACCCCACACACCTCACCCCACTCACCCCACACACCTCACCCCACACACCTCACCCCACTCACCCCTCACCTCACCCCACACACCTCACCCCACACACCCACACACCTCACCCCACACACCTCACCCCACTCACCCCTCACCTCACCCCACATACCTCACCCCACACACCTCACCCCACACACCCACACCTCACCCCACACACCTCACCCCACTCACCCACACACCTCACCCCACTCACCCACACACCTCACCCCACACACCTCACCCCACTCACCCACACACCTCACCCCACTCACCCCTCACGCGCTTCCCCCGCGCCCCCTCCTTTCCGCCCGTCCCCGCCCGCCCGCCCGCGGCCGCCCCCTCCAGGAGTAACGGGTCCCTCGCGTCGCTGACCCGGCCGGCGTTGCGATGGGAGGGGGGGTCCCCTGATTTCTCCCTTCCCCCCCCCGCCGCCCCCGGGGTCCCCTCTGCGGACCCCCTGAGCCGGGTCCCCACAAAGAAGGCTGAGCACTGAAGGCCCCTACTGTACGTACAGTACTCAAGTCGGGTTCGCGACGCCGCACGCGACACGACAGCCGCAGTCCTGCGTTCCCCTGGGGGGTGGGGGACCCTCTTCAGGGGTGCTGAACCGGCGAAGCGGCGGGACCCCCGATTAGGGGACCGCCCAGGTAAGGGGGTGCCCCCCGTCCTCTCTGCTACCCGTGGCCTGGGCCTCAGGCTGCGGCCGCCAATTCAGGCGATGCGGGGGTCACCGGCTCCAGACCCCGCGCGCCGAAGCAGTGGGGAGGTGGGGGGGGGTGCGCGAGGCGCGAGCGGCACCTGGGGCGGAGAGCGGCGCTGCAGACGGAGCGAGGATGAGGGTCGAGGGGGGGGTGGGGTCCCCCTGGTGGGTGGCGAGGGGGGGGGGTCCCTGCCAAAAGAGGGGGTCCCTCGCGGGGGTCCTCACGGGGGTCCCGAGTTTTTTTGCGCCAAATTTTATCGGCGCGGAGGAGCGGGGCCCGGGGCCGCGTGACGTCACCGGCCCGGCCGGCGTCACGTGGCTCGGCGGAGCGCGAGGCGCGCGTGCTCAGTAATCGGTTAACGGTTACCGTTAGACGGTTACCGGTTATCGGCGAGGAGGGGAATCGTTACCCTGGCTCGCCACGAGAAGGCGGCTCCGGCAACGGCAACAAATGCGGACGAATCTCCGCCCGTGCCATTCCAGAATGAGAATCTCTTCATTTCGACTGGAGGAATCCGATGAGCTACCAAGCTCTTTATTTTTCACAGATGTTCGACAGGACAGAGTGTTCCCCCATCGCAGGCGCGCGTGGGGGGGGGGGGGTCCCCCCCGAGTGCTCCGGTTACCTCCCACGCGTACAAAATAAACTGGGCCACAACACCTTCCTATGTAGAGGACCGCAGAGCTCGGGAAATTGTTTGGCACTGTGGCACCGACTGTTCACCGCTCCTCGTCTGTGGTTCCACCTCGGCGATCGAGAGATACGCAGTTTGCTTCAACGATGGTACTATGGAGACCCGTAGTCATAGAGGCCCCATCGAGACTCTTAGAGACCCATACAGACTCCTAGTTACTCAGAGCCTCAGAGTGATTCAGGGAGACCCGTTGAGACTTAGATCCATAGAGACTCATAGAGACCCCATCGAGACTCTTAGAGACCCATACAGACTCCTAGTTACCCAGAGCCTCAGAGTGATTAATGGAGACCCATTGGGACTCAGACCCGTAGAGACTCGCAGAGACTCATAGAGACCCCATCGAGACTCATAGAGACCCAGACAGACTCATAGTTACCTGCAGTCTCAGAAGACCCATTGAGACTCAGAACCATGGAGACTCTTAAGAGACCCAGACAGACTCATAGTTACCCAGAGCCTCAGACTGATCCGTGGAGACCCATTAAGACTCAGACCCATAGAGACTCATAGAGACCCATACAGACTCCTAGTTACTCAGAGCCTCAGTGATTCATGGAGACCCATTGAGACTTAGATGCATAGAGACTCATAGAGACCCCATCGAGACTCATAGAGACCCAGACAGACGCATAGTTACCTGCAGTCTCAGAAGACCCATTGAGACTCAGAACCATGGAGACTCTTAGAGACCCAGACAGACTCATAGTTACCCAGAGCCTCAGACTGATCCGTGGAGACCCATTAAGACTCAGACCAATAGAGACTCATAGAGACCCATACAGACTCCTAGTTACTCAGAGCCTCAGTGATTCATGGAGACCCATTGAGACTTAGATGCATAGAGACTCATAGAGACCCCATCGAGACTCATAGAGACCCAGACAGACTCATAGTTACCTGCAGTCTCAGAAGACCCATTGAGACTCAGAACCATGGAGACTCTTAGAGACCCAGACAGACTCATAGTTACCCAAAGCCTCAGACTGATCCGTGGAGACCCATTAAGACTCAGACCCATAGAGACTCATAGAGACCCATACAGACTCCTAGTTACTCAGAGCCTCAGTGATTCATGGAGACCCATTGAGACTTAGATGCATAGAGACTCATAGAGACCCCATCGAGACTCTTAGAGACCCATACAGACTCCTAGTTACCCAGAGCCTCAGAGTGATTAATGGAGACCCATTGGGACTCAGACCCATAGAGACTCATAGTGACCCCATCGAGACTCTTAGAGACCCATACAGACTCATAGTTACCCAGAGCCTCAGACTGATCCGTGGAGACCCATTGAGACTCAGACCCATAGAGACTCTTAGAGACCCATACAGACTCATAGTTACTCAGAGCCTCAGACTGATCCGTGGAGACCCATTGAGACTCAGAACCATGGAGACTCTTAGAGACCAAGACAGACTCATAGTTACCCAGAGCCTCAGAGTGATTCATGGATACACATTGCGACTCAGACCCATAGAGACTCATAGAGACCCAGAGACTTATATAGACCCACGAAGACCCAGAGACCCAGCGTTTGGAGTGCTGTGCTGCAAGGCATTTCCAATTCACGAGCCACTTCGTTGAGCCGTCATTTGTGGAAAGGTCGCGTCTGAAAAAGAACAGAACAGCTTAGTGGGGCTTACCTGGTAAAAAAATAAAAACAATTGTGGCTTAAATAGTTTAGTTTAGACTCAGAGATCTATTCTGTTCTATTTCAGATTCATATAGATCCATCAGCAGTAGCCTATAGCACCTGTGATGGGGGCATCCATCCAAGCGCTCCCCAACAGTCTCAAGCTGCTGAGCCCCGAGATCTGACGGCATCGGGGGTCCAATGGGACCGTGAAGGGGGTACGGTGACTGAGGGGGTATTGAAGGGGGTATGAGACTGAGGGGGTATTGAAGGGGGTATGAGACTGAGGGGGTATTGAAGGGGGTATGAGACTGAGGGGATGCTGAAGGGGGTATGCGACTGAGGGGATACTGAAGGGGGTATGAGACTGAGGGGATATTGAAGGGGGTATGAGACTGAGGGGGTATTGAAGGGGGTATGAGACAGGGGATATTGAAGGGGGTATGAGACTGAGGGGATATTGAAGGGGGTAGGAGACTGAGGGGGTATTGAAGGGTGTATGAGACTGAGGGGATACTGAAGGGGGTATGAGACTGAGGGGATATTGAAGGGGGTATGAGACTGAGGGGATATTGAAGGGGATATGAGACTGAGGGGATAATGAAGGGGGTATGAGACTGAGGGGGTATTGAAGGGGGTATGAGACTGAGGGGGTATTGAAGGGGGTATGAGACTGAGGGGATACTGAAGGGGGTATGAGACTGAGGGGATATTGAAGGGGGTATGAGACTGAGAGGATACTGAAGGGGGTATGAGACTGAGGGGGTATTGAAGGGGGTATGAGACTGAGGGGATACTGAAGGGGGTATGAGACTGAGGGGATATTGAAGGGGGTATGAGACTGAGGGGATATTGAAGGGGGTATGAGACTGAGGGGATACTGAAGGGGGTATGAGACTGAGGGGATGTTGAAGGGGGTATAAGACTGAGGGGATATTGAAGGGGTTATGAGACTGAGGGGATATTGAAGGGGGTATGAGACTGAGGGGATACTGAATGGGGTATGAGACTGAGGGGATAATGAAGGGGTATGAGACTGAGGGGGTATTGAAGGGGGTATGAGAACTGAGGGGATATTGAAGGGGGTATGAGACTGAGGAGATACTGAAGGGGGTATGAGACTGAGTGGGTATTGAAGGGGTTATGAAACTGAGGGGATAATCAAGGGGGTATGAGACAGGGGGTATTGAAGGGGGTATGAGACTGAGGGGATAGTGAAGGGGTATGAGACTGAGGGGATAATCAAGGGGGTATGAGACTGAGGGGGTATTGAAGGGGGTATGAGACTGAGGGGATAGTGAAGGGGGTATGAGACTGAGGGGATACTGAAGGGAGTATGAGGCTGAGGGGATAGTGAAGGGGGTATGAGACTGAGGGGATACTGAAGGGGGTATAAGACTGAGGGGATAATGAAGGGGGTATGAGACAGGGGGTATTGAAGGGGGTATGAGACTGAGGGGATATTGAAGGGGGTATGAGACTGAGGGGATATTGAAGGGGGTATGAGACTGAGGGGATAATCAAGGGGGTATGAGACTGAGGGGATAATGAAGGGGGTATGAGACTGAGGGGGTATTGAAGGGGGTATAAGACTGAGGGGATACTGAAGGGAGTGTGAGACTGAGGGGATAATGAAGGAGGTATGAGACTGAGGGGATAATGAAGGGGGTATGAGACTGAGGGGATAATGAAGGGGGTATGAGACTGAGGGGATTTTGAAGGGGGCATGAGACTGAGGGGATACTGAAGGGGGTATGAGACTGAGGGGATAATGAAGGGGGTATGAGACTGAGGGGATATTGAAGGGGGTATGAGACTGAGGGGGTATTGAAGGGGGTATGAGACTGAGGGGATATTGAAGGGGTATGAGACTGAGGGGGTATTGAAGGGGGTATGAGACTGAGGGGATACTGAAGGGGGTATGAGACTGAGGGTATATTGAAGGGGGTATGAGACTGAGGGGATATTGAAGGGGGTATGAAACTGAGGGGATACTGAAGGGGGTATGAGACTGAGAGGATATTGAAGGGGGTATGAGACTGAGGGGATAGTGAAGGGGGTATGAGACTGAGGGTATAATGAAGGGGGTATGAGACTGAGGGGATAGTGAAGGGGGTATGAGACTGAGGGGGTACTGAAGGGGGTACGGGACTGAGGGGATAGTGAAGGGGGTATGAGACTGAGGGAGTATTGAAGGGGGTATGAGACTGAGGGGATAGTGAAGGGGGTATGAGACTGAGGGGATACTGAAAGGGGTATGAGACTGAGGGGGTATTGAAGGGGGTATGAGACTGAGGGGTATTGAAGGGGTATGAGACTGAGGGGATACTGAAGGGGGTATGTTACCGAGGGGATACTAAGGGTTTGTATATGGCTGAGGGGGGGGTGCTAAGGGAGACCAAGGGGAGGGGGCATGAGGGGGTTTGGCGAGGGATCCGGATCCCGACCCGGATGTTTTGGATCCGGATCCCACCGGGCCGGGTGCTGACGGCGGTGGTGGCTGCTGCTCCTGAACCTCGTCAACCTCCTCATCAACCTCCTCATCATCAACCTCCTCCTCCTCGTCAACCTCCTCTTCAACCTCCTCCTCGTCAACCTCCTCGTCAACCTCCACCACCTCCTCGTCAACCTCCTCCAACTACCTCAATCACAACTACCTCGACAACAACCACCCCGACACATCAACCTCCTAAACAGCAGTAACTATATCGTCGTCATCGTCGTCGTCGTCATAATCGCAATAATAGCTTCATCCGCATCAACATAATTAATATCAACCTCGTCGTTAACCTCGTCGCCATCATCACCGTCGCCACTGTATCGACATCGTTAGCACCCCCGCGTCATCGCCGCCATCGTAAAAAAAAACTTCATCAGCATAACCTCCTCAACATCATTGTGCAACCTCTTTAACATCATCCTCCAACCTCAACATCATCCTCCAACCTCATCCTGCAACCTCATCAACATCCTCCA